ATTGTCTTCAGCTGTTCCATTAGGATGAGAAATCTAGCTTAGATAAAACCAACAGTAATGTACCTGGGGACCGAGCTTTGCTCGGGGAAAATCATTAGTTTACTCTGAAAGCAGTTTAGTATTGCAGATAGATTAATCCATTCCCAAACTCCACACTGCTCGCCTTTAATACTTCCTTCACCACTCCCTACGCCGTGGATCTGTTTGCCCTCCTTCCCTATACCATTTTAGAATTGCAGATACATAATTGCCACAGACAGTTCCCACACTCTAAACTGCTGGCCTTACTATTTCTTTCACCATTTCCTATGTCGTCGTGGACACGTTTCCTTCCCTTCTCATAGCATTTCAGTATCGCAGATACATTAATCTAACTGCTACAAACGGTTTCCAGTTCCAACTCTCGACTCTGCTTTCCTTTACTACTTCCTTCACCACTTCCTACGTCTCGGACCTGTTTCCTCCCTTCCCATGGCATTTTACGATTGCAGATACCTTAATCTAATCGTCATAAACAGTTCCCACACTCCAGACTACTCACCTTTACTACTTCCTTCATCACTTCCTACGTCACGGACCTGTTTTCCTCCCTTCCCATAGCATTTTAGGATTGCAGATATCTTAATCTAAACGTCATAAACAGTTCCCACACTCCGGACAGCTCGCCTTGACTACTTCCATCACCACATCCTACGTCAGGGACCTGTTTTCCTCCCTTCCTATAACATTTTCGAATTGCAGATACCTTAATCTTATTGTCATAAACAGTTCCCACACTCCGGACTGCTCGCCTTTACTACTTCCTTCATCACTTCCTACGTCACGGACCTTTTTCCCTCCCTTCCCATAGCATTTTAGGATTGTAGATACCTTAATCTAATCGTCATAAACAATTTCCACACTCCAGACTGCTCGCCTTTACTACTTCCTTCACCACTTCCTACGTCACGGACCTGTTTTCCTCCCTTCCCATAGCATTTTAGGATTGCAGATACCTTAATCTAATCATCGTAAACAGTTCCCACACTCTGGACTGCTCGCCTTTACTACCTCCTTCATCACTTTATACGCCACGGACCTGTTTCCCTCCCTTCCCATAACTTTTTAGGATTGCAGATATCTTAATCTAATCGTCCTAAACCGTTCCCACACTCCGGACAGCTCGCCTTGACTACTTCCTTCACCACTTCCTGCATCACGGACCTGTTTTCCTCCCTTCCCATAACATTTTAGGATTGCAGATACCTTAATCTAATCGTCATAAACAGTTCCCAAACTCCAGACTGCTCGCCTTTACTACTTCCTTAACCACTTCCTGCGTCACGGACCTGTTTTCCTCCCTTCCCATAACATTTTAGGATTGCAGATACCTTAATCTAATCGTCATAAACAGTTCCCAAACTCCAGACTGCTTGCCTTTACTACTTCCTTAACCACTTCCTGCGTCACGGACCTGTTTCCCTCCCTTCCCATAGCATTTTAGGATTGCAGATACCTTAATCTAATCAACAGAAACAGTTCTCACACTCTGGACTGCTTGCCTTTACTACTTCCTTCATCATTTCCTACGTCACGGACCTGTTTCCCTCCCTTCCCATAGCATTTTAGGATTGCAGATATCTTAATCTAATCGTCATAAACAGTTCCCAAACTCCAGACTGCTTGCCTTTACTACTTCCTTAACCACTTCCTGCGTCACGGACCTGTTTCCCTCCCTTCCCATAGCATTTTAGGATTGCAGATACCTTAATCTAATCAACAGAAACAGTTCTCACACTCTGGACTGCTTGCCTTTACTACTTCCTTCATCATTTCCTACGTCACGGACCTGTTTCCCTCCCTTCCCATAGCATTTTAGGATTGCAGATATCTTAATCTAATCGTCATAAACAGTTCCCACACCCCGGACAGCTCGCCATTATTACTTCCTTCATCACTTCCTACGTCGCGGACCTGTTTCCCTCCCTTCCCATAGCATTTTAGGATTGTAAATACCTTAATCTAATCGTCATAAACAGTTCCCACATTCCAGACTGCTCGCCATTATTACTTCCCTCATCACTTCCTATGTCACGGACCTGTTTCCTTCCCTTCCCATAGCATTTAAGGATTGCAGATACCGTAATCTAATCGTCATAAACAGATCTCACACTCCACACTGCTACCCTTGACTACAATGTATCGAGTAATCTTCAGTATAATCTTTGCTCAATAGTAACAACTGATGTTTTTCCTTTTGTACTGTATTTTGTTTTGCTAGTATACTGTGGAGTGGATAGACAACTTAAGTCTTTTGTTTACTTTTTCCTTGTTATTTAATTCAGTCAAGATGGTTACTTAGCAACCCATAAGACTAATGTTAAAAAAATGTGACTTTCAGTTTCATTTTTCTACGTAATTAGATTTTTGTTGGCAGTTCTAATTGCAGTAAACTCGTTTTTAGGCCAGGAATAAACTATTTACAACATTTGAAGAAAATCGTCGGAGCCGTTTTCGAGATCTTGGTGCAAGCATACATACATACAAGCAAACATTGCTCGTATTAGAGTATAGGATACTCCTCAAGCTTGTAGCCTACTTTGTAAATGGGCATAGCAGGATGTACTCGTGCAATCAACATTTGTTCTACAATCGTCAGGTCAGTTAATTCGTTCGGGACACTTGACACATCCATATTATTTAACGCCGTGAATTTAGTTGCATTTGAACGACAACGCGAACAAATTTGTGATTGGTTTGAAGCTGGCGATGACAGTTAGTGCAAGTGTAAAATTTTAGTGCATCTAATTCATGTTGGAATTGATTAGCTAACTGCCTATCATTATCAGCTTCTTCCGCCACTGCTTCATCTGGTTCTTCTTGTTCACGACGCCACTCTTTTACAATATTTGCATTATTGGTGCGACGACCAATATTAATTACGACACGTGGCCTTTTTTGAGGCATGCTCAAAACAAATATAGCAAAACTGTTACTTCCATTGATAAACTGTTACAACAACTTTAACCTAGGATGAAAGTAAACATTGAAATGTAAACAAAACAGTTACAAACAAGTAACATATGTTTATCTTATTTAAATGAAACGAGATAAACCCATATGTCATAAACCCAATATAATTTTCTTTCAACTTACATTAAAATAACAAGCGAAATTGTGTGGCCCGTAAAATAAAATCCAAAAGGAAATTTGCAAATATTTTTTACCAAAACATTGTGCTCAGTATTCTTTAGCTGTTGGCCAAATTTCATATCAATTGGTCAAGCCATTACATTCTGATGCTCTCAAAGTTTTGATAAGTTACAAAGTGAGGGAAAGTGAGCTTCGCTCCTGTTGCTCGAATTCGAGCAACTACTTAAGTATTACAGGCGATATTTTAAAACGAATAACAGTCATAATTTCTGATGAGTTTAAAAGATTCAACTCAAAGATTATGGAAACACTCTTTTAAAGTTGTACATAACAAATCGATATAACCAACATTTCTTGTAGGCCTAAATATCTATTCATTTTTCAAAATCTGATCTTGTTTTTTTAGTGTTTTCTACAAATAGCCTTACTCATAGCCGCATTAGGTTGTCCATGATAGGCCTAAGGATTATAAATTTAAAAAAAAAAATTATTTCTATTTCTTCTCCTTGATGGTGTTCTATGACTTTCCTATGTTTCTATAGTTTGAAAATCGGCTCTTTCAATGATTACTAAGAAATGCAGCACAGAGTTCCATTTACTAGTAGTAGTATAAGTAGGTATAAGAACAAAAGTTAATGAAATTTTGTTTTCATGACGCAAACCAGTATTTTCTTCTCAAGACTCGCCCAAACCTTTGAAGGCTTGAGACAAAGCCCAAGTGTACGTCTATGACTTTCCTCAGTATAGTAGCTATATTTGTGAGATATTTCTCCTTTTTGTTACGGTACTTTATTTTATTGAGTTAGACAAAAAGATATTTGCCTTTAAGTACATACATTGTATTTTTTATCTGAACAAATGTAGCTAGAATATTCGGGATATACTTAGTTGGACAGGTGTAATAGATTGACAAGCGTCCTAATGGTTATAATACAAAACGTGAAAAAATCCACTACACATACAAAAGGCGTAACCCGGCGACCATTCTCATTTTCAGCAACAGCTGTTTTTCAACTGAATAAAGTACCTAATTGCTTAGACTACAACTTGAAAACTGGTCTGATCCACACTCCACACAATCACATACAAAGATCATCAATGTTTGTAAATATTTTTAATTTAAAACAGAATGCATTAGAGAACTATACATGGGAATAATAGTATATTTCATCACTAGGGCGTAAAGTGACTCTTTTCGAATCGAGCTCAAGTTTTGCGATTGTGGTGAAGCCGGTTGGAAAATGAGAGAGGGTTGATATGTTAAACTATATTTTTCTTCATTTGCATCATTAATTGGCAATCTTAGCTAGAAAGAAAACAAATATTATATTTCATCCCTATAGAAACGTTTTTTGACTCGAGGTCAAGTTTTATGATCGAGATGAAGCCGACGTCCGAAAATGAGCAAGGGTTAAAAACTCACTTTTTGCCCGTGTGATGAACTATATTTTTCTTCATTTTGCATCATTAATTGTCAAACTGAGCTAGAGAAAACAAAAATACTTTTCATGTAGTTGTTTAGTAGTGTTTAGAATCATTTGGTCTATTACGATTGTGTTACTGTACATTATACCATCGATATATCAAATTTTTGACAATATAATTCAACAATAAAAAAAAACTTTATCTAATATAAATAATTTTGTTCCACGCGATTGCTACAATCAAAATTTACAACTGTTAAGGAAAGCTGATTTTGATCTTCTATGGGTACTTTGTACGGTCCGCTGAAATAGTCTAACTTAAACTTATATTTTTCCACGGCAGTTTCGTATTATAAAGCAAGCTTAAAAAATAATATGATCTAAATAAATAAAACACCTAAGTAATAAAAATATATTTCAAATTCTTAGTTAAAATCGAAGACTTTATTCACTTGTATTCATAGACTTAATAGAAATTCTTGGTTCGAACTTCAGCCATAATTCATCCTCAAGAATGCCCAAGAATGAGGCTTTGTAGCGTAATGGAAGTTTAGCGTTTGGACTGAGCCTTAGTGAATACTTGCAGAGCACTTTAGTTACTGCCACCTTCAGCATTAGGATAACCAGTCTATAAACTGAAACATCAAAATTTTAGAAACATAGAATATGTAATTCTAACCAATATGTTACATACTCGTGAATAACACGTGTTGTTCTTTTCGTGAATTTGTCAGTTGTGGAAAAAATTTAAAAATTGAATCATATGTGAAACTGCTAGGAGGGGTATTTGTAATTTAAGCAGAAAATAAATAATTAATCAGGAGAAGAATTTCTAGATACGTTTTGTCCCTTGTAATAAACGATAAATGTCAAAAAAGATCAAATTTATTCTTGCTACAACAAAAGTTAAAAATTAAACTAAACAATAAATGTTTAACACTAATACCGAAACCCCACCTAGGCTGACGTTAACCGAAACCGCCGGTCTGTGAGACCCCATTTGAAAAATAATGGACCCCGCTTAGAAACACACAAACCGAAACCCTCGGTCTGTGACACCCCGCTTTAAAATACACTAACGCTGGGCTTCTGAGACGGACATGTTATGAACAGACGACCTGTCAAGGTCACGGCACCCATGCAAAATGAACAAATGATATATCAATAGGTAGGGGAGGAAAATGGGGGAAGGTATTGGGGGAATGGAATCTACCAAGTAAACAGTGTTGCCAACATGCGTTTTTGAAAATTCCCGTGGGCCTGTCAGACCGGGGTTTCGGTATTAGTGTTAAGTTATCTGAGTTATTGTAATTATTGAATACCTCAAAACAATTGATTCGTACTACAATTCGTCGTTTTTACGGCAACTCATATGTGGCCTTGATTAATAAATTTATATGCTATCCAGAGGCCAATCCATACAAGTTAAAACACATAAATGAAATATTTTTGTTAAGAGTCAAAGAGGTGAAATATAAAAAATAATACTGATGAAAATAATGATTACAAATTGATCACAATTGAAAATGTACTGCTGGTGATTTGGTTAAAAGTAACAAAGTCATTGTGGTTGCTGGGCTCCATAGATTAAAAATATTATATCTATGTACCTTGACACATAGTCTCATAACATTATGGGAATGTATTTGGCCTTGCCTAATGCCTAATCCTTAGACTTTAGTAAAATCAGGTTATCTTAGTTTTATAGTATTTTATACAAACAGACGGAATAATAATTTAGTTGTATCTTTGAAAATGTAGCCTACTTAGAGTCTACTTTGAATTTTAAACAGGTTACACAATAGTATCAAAACCTACCCAGACAAATACGCGGTCCGGCACCAAAAGGCAAATATGCACCACTTGTTTTGAAATTGTTGTCAATGAAGCGTTCTGGAAGGAAGAGTTCCGGATCTGGATGGTTGTTTGGGTCCAGATGGATGCCACAAGTTGGAATCATCACTGTTGTTCCTGTCTCCAGAACTAGGTCTGTTCCTGGCAGAGTGTAGGGGGATGAGCAGGTCCTTAGGGGCCCGGCAAACCCAGGATTCAAACGCAGAGACTCTAGGAAATTCCATTGAAAAACATCGGATAAATTGTTAGAGCTTGCAGTTAAATTTGCTGCTAAAAGGTGTAAAACCAAATATTCACTAACCCTATAAAGACAAAAGACAACACCCACAGCACAGTAAATACTTATGTCAGTAAAAGAATTATTCTAGCATATTTCGATATAGTTTTTCAAAATTGGTTGTAAATATTTGGTGGTGTTTAATACCAAAATGCACGAGGCTCTATGCTATGAGTAGGCTACTAACAAACCTTTATAGATAAACCATATTCTTAAGTCTAATGTTCATTGCTGCATTGCTCCCAAGTTATTACCAATCAGCATTCTTCTGTACCGGTAATTAATCTTACCTTGAATAACTGCATCGAGGTATTTTAATTGCTGCAAAGTATTAGGGCTGATTTCCTTGGTTTTTATCAACATTTCGTCAATCTCTGCTTGGACTTTGGTCTGTACCGAGGGATTGGATGCTAAGTCAGTCAGTAACACTGCTAATGCTGTGGTGAGGCCGTTGGCGCCAAGACACATAAAAGAAAACACCTGAGCTGTGATGAAGCCATCTAAAATACACAGTAACAGTTACTGAAGGGAGTATTGGTTAGAGTCTTTCAAATTATAGAATTGTAAGGTTAAAATACCAAGAGTAATCTTCCTACATACAACTATATTGAGGGCAGTTTGAAAATTTACGGCAGTAATTCATGATGTTTTTTATAATGTAAGTGTGTACAATAAATTCATAGTCAACACAAATCTTGAAAATTAACAAGGAAGCTACACCTTGAAACTCAATTTTAATCCAATTTTAACCTCTAAAATGATACCTTAATTAAAGATATAGGTTTTTAAAATAGGGTACTTGTATCGTAAATCTCAACTTTGTATGTTAAGTGTCAATGTAACAGTTTTCTTATGGTTATTACTCAAAATTAACGCTCAACAAAGTACCTAATACACCTCAACTACTACAACTATTAATTATTGTAAAGAAAATTTACCTTCGTCACTTTTGGAATAATCACCAGTCATTGTACATTTTGGGGGTAAGATTTGATCTTTTCCAGTTTTGTCTGAATGCAAAGGATTCTCTCGGTTGTTTTTCAACTCATTGTTTTTTAAATCGAGTAAAATTTGAAGAATGTCACTTCTTCTACCTGAACTGTCCTTGCGGGCTTTCACAGCAGCTAAGCTCAAATCTTTGTAGAACTTCAGAACCTTATTCACACTCGGTATGTAGAATAGCAAATTCACTAGTTTTGGCACATAAAAAAATACTGTGAATACACACTCTAAAATGTTAAATCTGATGAAGGTTTTCTTAGACGTATTCATAAGCAAATTATAGAATGAATCGTCGCATTCAAAACCAAAGAGACTACTTGTGATGGCCTTGTATGAAAACAGAGACGATAAGCTTTTAGCAGTTGCTTCTTCATTGTTACTGTGGTATACGTTTATCTTTGAAACCAAATCATCGGCATTTGAAGAAATGTTATCAAAAATCTGTTTCAACTTGTTGTATGAAAAAGCTGTGTTGAGTTTCATTCTCAAATCTCTCCAATCTTGATCCTGCATACCTCCGAGAAACTTGGCAAAGAATTCATTATTCATACTACTTGAGTCGACCCTTTTGTTGCAAAATACTGGAAAGTCTGAAACCAAGAGTTTTTCTACAATCACAGGATCTCTTATCACCAAAACAGGAGTGCCAAAATCAAAAACCCCAAAATATCTTTCATTTGGAAACTGTCTGTACTGTTCTATGGAAAGATCTATGAATGATTTCCTTCCCATTATGACATCACCAAAATTGCCAAATGGAAAACTCGGTTGGATGAAAGGAACTTTCTTCTTCTTCCAGTAATCATAGTTGTAAGAAATGTAAACATAAAGGAAAGTTATCAGGCATGATACAATAATCAAAACAAGTAGTAGAAAACAGAACATGATTCCTTAAATTGAATAACCCTGAAAAAGTAGAACTACATTATGGTTGGTATAAACTTGTATTTTTACTGTGCCAACAAAAACTAAATTACAATCACAATAAAAGGGTGATATCTATTCAGATAGTCCTGAACTACAAGACATATTATCAACAAAATACACAATCTGTCCATTAAAACTACAAGCTTATTAAGTACTAAGCATTGTAAACATTTAATCAATAATACCATCCTTGTATTTTGTTCTGGTTTCAGGTTGATATAATAATTTTAAAACAATTATGCAGCCTAGAAAATTATCGGTTCTTTTTTATCATCTTTCATTGTCTGTGGAATGCCTACCTAGTGAGCGTTTTTGTTTAACTTGTCCCTTAATCCTATCCCATAGAACATTTCCCCATAATGTGGTTTGCTATTGGTTAGAAAGGTATTATTTGTTAGGTATTCCTTGTGCTCAATCGTTGACTATTGGTGGAGGTAGACATTGCATCCACATCTTAAAGCTGAAGTCAGTTTTCAGTTTTCATACAATAATGGACTATGAATTAAAATGTAAATTTTTTACCTACTTTTTTCAAGTTAACTCTTTCTCAAACCAAGTTGAAAGGGTAATCAATCGCAGCCTAGTATCTTACGTCTCATCAAGTACTACAGTACCAAATACTACAGACTACAGGAGAAAATCAAAGATGGAAACACACTCTAGGATTGGTTAACAAAGTTCTATTTGAAAAAAATTGCCATAGCTGGTCCATAAAGTTGGGATAACTACTACAGTATTCAAAAGTCAGAGGATCGACGTTTTGATCCCTATGACCTAACAGATTCCTGGCAACACCCCAAGGTGTGTACCCGCAGCGAATTTTTGAGTAAAATTTGAAATTAAATTTAATTCAGAGTGTGGTTAAAACATTGACATAAACTATTACTTTAGAAACACATGATATTGTATAATTTCTGTAGAAAAATGTATAGGTAAAGTAGCGGAAGTTTAATACTTCTCTTATAAAAGGCAAATAACACTCACTCACTCACTGATCACCATAATCTCAAAAACTACAAGCCATTAGAACTCAGGAATTGGAATGGAGGTTCCAATCAAGTCTCAAGAAATTCCTACGGGGCTCTGCCCCAGCAGAGATCTCAAGTTAACCTTAAATAAATTTTTTAACGCCACACTACATTGTTTTAACAAACTTCCCACGTAAGGATTTAGTCCAGAGAACAGCTGTTTGCTGCCAGCTTAATCAAATGGGTTTTCCTTACGACCCTTACGTACTATACCATTGACTATGTAACACTACATGGTACCACTGCAGTCCTACTGTAATGAGTTTTTAACAGACACCAACCAGCTGTTTTATTTGGCAATGAGTGATTATAAACAAACACATAACCTCTCTTTGAGGAAATGAGTATTGATTTTTAGTCCTTACAATGGTCGGTGGGTATAAGGATCCGTACAGATTTTTTTATTTTTAGAGTAGTGTATGGCGTAAAATATTGTACGTAACTCGTCCAAAATGTGTTTAATGGACTCGTATGTCAATCCTGCACTCGACTTCGTCTCGCATGGGATGGAAACGACCACACACTCGTCCAATAAACACTTATTTTCAGGACTAGTAACTAATATACTATTACATTTGAATATAGATGTAAACTGTTAAATCTACAATAAAAGGAAACAGCTATATAGTTGTATGAAATTTGTTGAAATTAAAATATTTTTGTTCGTTATTTTTCAATTCAATTCAATTCAAATTGTTTTCAAATTGTCAAATTGTTTTATTCAGCATCGCCTCCAGGACCGTAATTATTTATTACTGTTTTAATTTATGACCAAAAAAATAGGTTTACGTACCTTGTACAGAGTATATTATAAGTTTCAATGATATACCGTATTTTTTAAACACATAAATACATGATATGGTTGTATTAAATAACAAAGCTTTCTTTCACGCAACTGAAGCTGCTTTATCCGTTCCATCGCACCCTGTACATTGTACAATTCATCTTCCCTCCCATCAAGAATTTAATACTCAGTTGTATTCTCAATAGAACTTTAAATATTGACTGGCACATACTCCTAGCATGTATTACCATCAACCCTTTAAAAATATATATATATTTACGGAAGTAATACTAAAACATTGCAGTTTAAAAGCAATTAAGGTAGAAAAAATACAACTGAAATTCACAATTGCATTAAAAATAGATATTTATTTAGAACAGTAGATGAAAGTCAAAATACTACTTAATTTTTTTATGACATAAAAGTATTGATCATTAAGAATGTGGTCTTTCCGTAAACTCTGCCCAGAGCCCTTGCAGCAGTTTGGGCATAAAAGTCGGAGCGTATTTGGGTGGAAGAGGTGTCTCGCTTTTGAGCTTCACCGAATACCGCTGCATCACCTTAGCAACAGCGAGCTTGAGTTCCAGGATGACCAGTTTGACAGCTGATAACAAAAAAGGAGTACACAAAATTAAATAAAAAAAAAAATCAAAGATGAATATTTTTTTTTATTTACTGTAACTTATAGTATGTAGACAAATAGCATGTGATTCTGTGATATATTCATAGGTCTATGGAAAATTATTTACTCCTACTGTATTCAAACAAAACTCACTCCTTTATTGCATTGTAAACAGCATACAGACCAAACAAACATTTTAAAGGATAGCGAATTATTACAAATCTATATAAATAAAATTAGAGTTTTGTCTGTACATTGCTCAGAATTATATACTTTTAGGTTATTTTTACGTTTTATACATTAAAGAAGCAGAAACGAGTCTTATCTCAATTTCTGTCTGTCTGTCTGTCTGTCCCTTTGTCTGTAACACTCAAGATGGCATTTTACGCTATCTTCTCCGTGAAAACCAGAGTACATATCAAGATCCAAGTCATTTTAATGTATTCACTGGATTGGCGAGAGTGTCTTTAGTGATTTAAATATAGCCTCACTACTTTGTAAATAAAATTACGGACGTTCAAAAATGCAGTTTTGTGCGATTTTTGTCAAATTTCCGTCCAATTTTTATCACATGATCGTCTATGAAATAACGAACAGCTGTTCGGATCAAGATTATTTTTTCTAGCTGTCAATGACATGTTTACAAATGTTGTTTACAAATACCGCAACTATTTCGAATCACGTTTTGAAAGCAAATCCCAACCAAGTGAGATTAAAAACGTTTTTCTTACATATCGGATTTAATTAATCGCAAGTGCAATAATATAGTCTAATAGTGTATAACCGTAAATGAAATTAAATAACTAGACATCGTCCAAATCGGAACCAGAAATTCTTTGAGTATAAAATGTTTCTTGAGTTTTGACAACCAGAAAGAAGAAGACCTTGAATCAGTGTTGTATAGGGCTGTGACACTGAAATGATCGTTGCCAATAGCTTACAAAAAAGGTTTCCACTCATTGACGGCGCTTCAATGGCGGTTGTGTAAAGTGTAAAGTAAAAAATCACAACTGCAGTGGGTGATTGTAACAGAGGTTTAACAGAGGAAGTGATAAACTCGCTTTTCCAATGTGTCACTTTCTGTTTCTACTCACCGTGTGATGCAATCGCTGGACCATACAGCCAATAGGCCCGTAGCTCATATCTTGGGTACGTAAGCCTACATATTTATTCATAACAACCTTTTTGACGACGATCCTTGATACCAATACTTTTCCATAGAATACATGGCCTACCTACTTAAGAAATATAATTACCAATGACCAAAACCCCAACATTGTGTGATTTTCGTCAAATTTCCTTCTAATGTTAATAGATATACTAATCATTGTTTAGAGAATGCGTAATCTATTAAATAACAAAAAGTTGTTTGGGTAAGGTTGCTTTTTTTCAAACTGACACCGATAAGTTTACGCTATAACTTTTTACGAGAAAATCCAAAAGCAAGAGATCAATAACCTCGGGACTAGATATTAATGTATTTAATTGGTCCGATTTACTATAGTTCTTAGGTAGGTTCTTACGTAGGTACTGGTTCTTTTCCTTAGAACCGGTAGTTTACAAATTTGATATCGTTGGTGTTGCACCTTATTTATTAGAGCCGTCCGTATTCAATTTCAGTGATGTCTTAACTCTGTATAAGTTTTGCTTTTTCTGTCTGGATTCCAAATCTTAGCTTACCCGGTATGCTAAGAAAATGATAACCTATTTGAGTAAAACATTTGTTGGGCAAACTATCATGAATTGTTTACGCCTTTATATTGTTTATGTATCAATAGTTCGTGGCCTTTGTTGGATTGTTGTATTGTGTTGTTTTGTTGTATGTTGGTAACGCATTAATGTCCTTATTTCTCAGTGTTTCACGGAATGGACAAGAGCACCTTTGATACTGAAAATGTCAACCGGAATAAAGTGTTAAATGGTGAGGTTGAGGTAGTACTTTAAATACGTTTAAGTTAACCGATGTGGAAAGTAACTTTCAATTATAGGCCTACTTTAGGGCTACGCTTCATGGATCTATAAAACATTTTTTAGTTTAATCATTGGACATATGGACCAACACAATCCGGGTGACATTTAATTGCGAAGCATTTATTTTGGCTTGAACTGTCAGATACTGTATTTGCGAAGGTTTATATATATAATAGTTTTGCCAGCATATCTGCAAATATGCAAACTAATTGCTGTTCTTAATCTTAATATAAGAAGGTTTCAACTGACTACTATAAGATCCCCGTGCGTAGAACGGGCACACAGCTAGTGACAAATAAATTTAGATGACACTTTCGTTCTTGTGGCTTTCTTTAAAATTAGCAGATAATTTAGTAATTAGGTGATAAATTTTAAAACCATAATAACTTATTGACTAAAATCTCAAACGCTATTCACCATCCTTCTAGAGTAAAACTTGACATACCAAAATAAATTTTAAGTTCTTCTATCAAAATGAAACTTACCAATGCACATACGAGGTCCAACACCAAACGGCAAGTAAGTGGGACTAGGTTTGTAGTTGTTGTCGAGGAATCTCTCAGGGTTGAAGACTTGAGGCTCGTGATAGTTGCCAGGGTCGAGGTGGATTGCGCAGGAGGGTATGAGAATTGTTGTGCCTTTCTCTAGAGTAAGTTCTGAGCCGGGCACCCTGTAGGGTGACACGCACACTCGGTGGAGGTACGGGAATCCTGGATGGAGTCGTAGACTCTCTGGAAAACATAAAAGATTCATAAAAGATAAAAGCGGAGAGTGAAAAAGAGATTAACATGGTGTTCCGCTCCGCTTCTAGGAAAACAGTAACATTAAATGACCTAAGACAAGTGGAGTCCGCTCTCCGCATTCCTCTCTCAGCTCTCCACTTCCGCGCCTAGGAAAACCCGGCTTTATGGGCCCAGGGGCATTTAGGTTCCTTGGGGGGGGGGGGCGCTGGGGGGGGTACAAGGAAGAAGAGAAAAATTCAAGTGCCAAAGTGCTCCAATCAAAATTTGTCATTACCATTACCATCTTACCATCTCTATACACACAATTGAAGGTTTTGAAGATTGCAATACATTTCTTATCTTTTTGAGTCAACACAATATTTTGCAATCTATTTTCAACTTCATTTAGCCCATTCATATTCAATATTATTTGCATTATTGCACAATGGTATGATTGTGTATGAGGCATTTTTTTTGTGCTTATTTTTTTAGCCAATTTTAATTTATAAAGGGATTCTGCACATCTACAGGAAAACATCTTTCATTTGGTACCAACCACGTATAATTCGGTCCAGAGTAGTATGGTCATGCTAGATGTTAAGTTTTGCAAAAGTTTTTTTAGTATATAAGATTATATAATTTGGGATCATGCAAAAACATAAAAATTTGTTAAATAAAATACAGTAGCCCCCTTACATGGCACTTATATTTGATCCCTTACCTTGTATGACCAAGTCCAGATAGTTGAGTTGTTGGGTAGCCTCATAGCTGAGTTCTCCGTACCTGTCGACAACTGAGTCTATCTCCTCTTGAACTTTAGCCTGAACCTCTGCGTTTGTCGCCAAATCGAGGAAAATAAACGTCACAGCCACAGCTGTTGTCTCCATGCCTAAGCTCATGAACATGAACATTTGGGACATGATCATGTTCTCTGTGAACACTGTAAAAACATTTTGTTAATACACCAAGTAGTTTGAATGATTCTATTAATTCCATTACATTAAAACTCGCCTTTGATCTATACGATGAAGTAACAAAAATGTTGCAATAATAAATTGAGCTGATTTCATGTTGTAGCCCTTCACAGATAGAGGGGAATTTAGAATTTTAAGAATCTAACACTCATTAATAATCAATTATAATTCAAATCAGTTTCCAAATCACTAATAATAGTCGTGAATTGGTGTGTTTCATAAATTGTATATGACTCATTATAACGAGTTAGAGTTAGGTAAACATTATTTAGGGCTATGTTAGGTAACTGTAAAAAAATGTCAATGGCTTGTTTCCCTAATACGAACTTTCTCTCCCTTATGGTCGGCTGGTTATACTAATGTAAAAGCCATAAAATTCATTCTGACGAAACTGGAATGAATACCTGCAGTATGCAATTTGAGTAACTAGTGAAGTTTATAAAATACAACAGTTGATATGTGTACAAAAAAAAATTTAAATACTCCATCAGATTCTTTATACTCTCTATACTGTATATAATAAAAACTATATCTTTACTTCATGTTTATAGAAACATATTTATTACTTACAACATTTCTTTTCCAAAGTCCCTTTGCCAGTAGAAGATTTCCTGTAGGAACTAACTGTGGTAGTGTTTTCAACAGCATCATTTCTGTTTTCTTTAATTTCTTCCTCCCTCAAATCAAGCAATACTTGTAGGAAATCATTGCGTTTTACTTGTACTCCCTGACGTACTCTGATGGTTTCTAAGCTTATAGTTTTGAAGTATTGCACAACTTTGTCAACTGGTGGTATCATATACAAAAACTTAATCAAACGAGGAGTATATATGTGTGATAAAATGATCATGTGAACAACTTTCATTTTGAGAAAAATTTTTTTCACATGCACTATGAACTCTTTGACCCCATATTCGTCGCATTCAATACCAAAAGCACATTTTGCTATTACTCGGTGTGAGAAACCATAACCTAAACAATCCAGATAGATACTTTCTTTTTTAGCAACCTGTCCTGCAATGTGTTCTAGCATAAAGTTTGCACAAAAAGATATCAACTCTGTCATCCGTTTTAACTTGCTGTTAGAAAAAGCTCCGTTGATCTTGTGTCTTAATTGTCTCCACGTATCTCCAGAGAGGTTCCCGATGTAGTAGTTGAACGGATCATTTTCAGGTGCAAGGTTATCTTCCCCTCGGTCGCAGAAATGCGCAAAATCTGTCATAAGAACTCTTTCAACAATCGACGGGTCCTTCAAAACCAACACTGGCGTTGTAAAGTTGAAGATTCCGAAGTAAGGTTTCCCTTCGAACTGTGTGTACTGTTCAATCGTAAGGTCCGTTAGAGACTTCCTTCCCATCATTACGTCACCAAGATTACCGAAGGGGAATGATGGTTTTATGTGGTCAACTCCTTTCTTCTTCCAGTGATCAAATGTTGAAGTGAGGTAAAAGTAAGCAAAGACGAGAAGAGGGATGAGTCCAAGGAAAAGGTAGAATATAAAGTTCCAAACATCTTCCAATCTTAACATTTTTTCTGAAAAATATTTAATAATATTATTAGTGTGAATGTAGCAATGTAAAAAATATAGCTTTTTTAAAATCAACTATTCTAGCTATAACATTATAATAGCACAGTTTTACCCTTGAGGTTCTGGGATGTTTGTAGATTATTTCTGATAGCTTGTTTGATGATTTATCCTAGAATGAAGAATTAAAATAGCAAGAGGTAACTACCAAGCTGGGTGTGAATGCTTACTGATCAAGAGGCTGTCAGTTTGATCTTGAGAAAAATCATTAGCTTTTTGATGGCTCAAAATTGGATCCACAGGTGACCTCTTGATCATTTTGCTTTTAATATACGGACCTGCTAGATGATTCACATTGGCAATAGAAACTACTGTACTAATCATCAGTATTGCACAACTAATTCAACCCATCCCTAACTCATCTTTTCTGTATACTTGGAAACATGGATAAACAAACACCTAATTTGTGTCTCCATTTTAAATACAGTAATGATATAAATTAATTACCTAAACTTTCTTTCTAGAAGTTTAGTACATCAATGAGCAGAAAGAGTGTTCCAAGAGGGCTCGAGGTTAAATTAAATGTGGCTTAAAAATAAAATTACATCATCTAAAGCAAAAAAATCCAATCTGGTAACTACTGTAGCTAAAAACAGGTAATGTACAAACTTAACAACCCATGAATCTTTATGAATACTTACATTTTCCAAACAATAAAGCTTCTCAGAAACTGGGAATTACTCTGAAAAAGTCCAGCTTTTCTTTTGAATTAATATATGTGTGTTGTACTCTAAGTCCAGCTAAACCAATAACCATCACAGTCAGTACCCACCAACACAGCTTCTACTGCAGACTTTCAACATTACCTTCAATCATCGTTCTTCAACCACAGTTTTAACATGTTTTACTTGATAAGGATGAGTATGATGGAGATTGCAATATGCTCTTATCATAGCCATATGTTCAGTATTAGTTATATGATTGTGCAATAAAAGCAATTAGTGGACAAAACAAGAAACAAGTATCATATGTAAGTACATTACAAAGTAATTAGGAAGTAATTACAAATGAATGTATTAATTTTATGAAATTGTAAATAGACCTACCAAATCTGCAATATGTTTTCTCTTCCATGAAAATATTTCTTCTTGTGAAGTCCTGTTATGTGTTACTCATACGACGAAATGAAATAATCATTTTAACATTGTAAAAGTGAATTTAATTTGATTCCTATATTAGTTTAACAATATTTTATCGTTGAACTTTAGTTCAAAATCTGAATGCAATGTTTTAATTTTCTTACCTTTTTATAATATAACAAAATTTTTTTAACTTTTATCAGTGACTATTGTCAAAGCTATATTGCTACCATGTTGCTTTAAATAAATTTTGTCATACTATATCATTGACTTTATGTCAATATTCAACTACAAAAGAAAGGAAAACATAAATTGTTTTGTTGAAACTTGAAGTTACTGATTCCGGCTTAGTAACATAATCTTATCTTGTGTAAAAAGGAAACACTGGTTTTGAGTTTTATATTTTATTTCACACCACATTTACAAAAACAATCCAAATATTAAATAGAAAATGTATCTTTCGTTCTTTTAACCAGGTCTACTCTGGCGCTGCATCAGGATCTAAAACAATAAAATTCTTTTAGTTTGTTAGCTTGATTGTTCACTTCGTAGTTATTTTATTAATATTTAATTTCACATTAATGACATAACTAAGTAAAATTTGAAAAATCTTTAACTAAAAAATGTTTAAATACCCCCGTCGCAGCAAACCTGCAGACTTAGCGAATTTCCATCTGCCTGATTGGATTTAAACTAAAATGTCCCCTAAAAATATCACATTTATTCCCTATTTAAACAGAATAAGTTTAATGAGTACTTAGGTTTGCTGCAACAGGGAGGGTAAAAAAGTTTTTTTTAATGTAAAATATTAAAAGGTACTGTGGTTTAGTAAGAAATTAATGTATTTTCCAAATTTGATCAAAATATGTTCATAAACAAGCAAACTACAACAGTTGACTTATTCTCCATAAGAATAACATGGGAATTTTAAAATTACAATTTTTTTGAATTTTCTCCGTAACAATCAGGCGCATAATAATGCTTCAATATACTAAATTATTTGTTTTTTTAAGCTCTACAAAATGGTTTAAAAATAAATTGTGAAATTTTTTGTTTTTAGGGTCAAAAATGGGAAAAACCTATTTTTACCCCATAAAACCCCCCATAAACCCCCGTTCCCACAGTCCGATCATGCTGGTTCGCGAACTCATTCAAGTTTATCCCGCCTTACACCTTTAAACCAAATTTTATCAAAATCGGACAAAAATTACTCAAGTTATCGTGCGGATGGACACATATATATATATATATATATATATATATATATATATATATATATATCTCTATATATAGATATATAAAAATTTGAACGAATGGTGTTTTTGGCCTCTGGGGACATCAAAATGAAAAAGTAAATCGGTCCCGGGCTTAGGTCTTACCATGAGACCTACGGTAATAGCTACTTCCCTATAGGGAAATTCGCTAAAACTTAACAATATCAATGATGTACCCACACTCACCCAAGTCATTACTTGACTCCATCTCCATCTTCTCAGTAGTGTAATCTTCAACAGCTGCAGGCAATTCTTCCTCTTCAACATTTCCATCTTCCACTTCTTCGGTCTCTTCATCAACAGCTGGAGGCTCAGTTTCTTCTCCCTGTACGTCTTCACTTTGCTCTCCTACTTCATCAACCTCTCTTTCTTCACCCGACTCTTCCTCGGGTGTAGGTGGGGGTTTGATAGGTATTTTAGGGTCAGGAGGTATCAGTTCGGGGGAGTATGGTAGGATTTCTCTCGGCCGCCAAACTGCCTTCAAGCCTTTTGGATAGCCTTCTCTCGGAGATGCCTTCTCCTCCTCTTCAGCCAGTACTTCCTCCTTGTCAGCATCAGGCTGTTCGTCCGATAAATGTACGTAGTGACCAATTTGAATGCAGTAGTTATCAAAGACGAAACAACCTTTTCCGATTGGCTGAAAAATACAGGTTTTAATCCATGGCATATTAAGTAAGCAAACGCAACAATATTTTACAACTAATATTATACTGAGTGTTTATAAAAAAACATCTTTATGACACTATATATTTCGGCACCTTTATTTGTCAACTACAAGACGATAAATACGGTAATTTTTTTAAATTGAACATTCCAACTCCAATCATCATCAGACCCAAAGGGTGAAACACGTCTAGGCAAGATGTTGTACTACTCGTAATTAAAGTGCATTCTTTAAAGCAGACTGTTTAACAAAGCCTTACTGCAAATGATAATAATTTTAACATCCTTCTCAGTGAATGTATTGAGTGGGAAGATGTTTAAGGAACATACTTCTTAAACTCGAATGGTTAAAGAAGTTTAAAAACTGCCTCCGATTTTAGCTCCCAGACAAAACCTTAACCTTACTGTAATTTTTTTTTAGACTTAGCAATAGGAAATAGTTTGTTAAGTTTTGATTTATTTGCTTTGCTACAAAAGAACAAATAACTATAACAATGACATTGATTCACATAAATAACCAGTTTTGTTTGTTTGCTTATCTTGAGGACCAGTGGTGTAGTCATCTTCCTTAGTCGTCTCTATGTATTGGTAGTATTATTCTGCAAAACTAAACTGGACAACGCTTTCATTGGAAATTTCATAATTATACCTCTGATGAACTGTCTATACGAGGGGAAGATAACATTAACATAGAAATGATGTCACATAAGATTAATGAAAGATTTGTAGTTTAGCGTTATTGTGGACTGGAAGTAAAATTTAACCTCATGAGAGAAATTCTTGAACGCAAAGAGAAAACAAATTATCTATACACTTACCATGTTGTGCAGAAATGTTCCATGAAATGTGAAGGTAGGATATGTGATTTTCCCTCTTCCCTCCATTTTCCCCTTCTGCCACAACCCATGCATGACTACACCGGATGTTTTGTATGTGTAGGTACCAAGTCCACTTCTCTCATCTTGTTCCCAGTCTCCGCTGTAGACGTCACCTTGAGCGTAAGTGTAGACACCTTTACCATCACGCTTGTCGTTTTTCCATTCACCTTGATAGAAAGAAAATGATTGTAATTGTAGTACAGTGTGAAAATACCAGGTAACTTTACTGTGATTAACAACATTGTTAGTTTAATTCTGTCACCATAGCTTGTAATAGAAAAATACAAACATGCAACGGATAAATGGGGGATTTTTAAAAAAGGGGATGGAGTACGGCTAGATTACCTTAGAAAGTTATAGTGATTTCTCTCTAATCTACCTTCTGAAGAAGTGCTAGGCTATATCAGAACAAAATATTATACTTATGTTTTGTGATTTTTTATTGTGAATCTATCTTGGTTACCAACTTTCTCAGGTAAGCCAGCTAAACTTTATCTCCTTTTAAAAATCTTAATGACCCACTTGTTTTTCCTTAAAAATATCACACAGACTAATAGAATGCAATAAATAAGTTAAATTGTTTCAATATTGATTGTATTTTGGGTATTACACCACACCAATACATGCAGGCTTATATATATAGGCCTACAAGCTTAAGTAAAATATGACAAGAACCAAAACTAGATTGTAACTTTAGTATGGATAGGATAATAATAGGAAAATATGTTCCGTACCTAAAAACTAAGCAATATAGTGTTGCTAAAAACGTTAGGAAAAACAAGAATCATGTACAGGCCTCAATGTTTAATGGGCCTAGTGGGCTGAGGGCCAAGGGGTTTTAGGTTTGTTGGGGCTGCAAGGAGAAAATGTTCCTTGTACAGAAGGGGAGAGGGGAGTGCAATTGTCTCTCGGGCCCGTATTGCGTGTCTCAGTCACATGCAAACAGCAGGCCTGAACCTGTATAAGCTAGTTAGTAGTTAAGAGATATGTTTGTACAGTAGACATAAATCATGTTTACATATACCAACAAGATTTTACAATCAAGCATAGCAAATAAATCTGGAAGTACCAATACGGTAATATGGAGTACCTAGTATTTTACCTTCATAATTTGATCCATCGGGGTAATAGAATGTTCCGACACCATGTTTGACTCCATCCTTATACTCCCCAACATACTGGGCACCTCCCTTGAACACATAATGTCCTTGACCATTCCTCAGGCCTTCTTTGTAATGTCCATCGTAGAAGTCAGAATTGGGCAGTAACGCTCGACCTCTCCCATGCCTTTGTTTCAACTTGTTCCGCTCTCCATCATACTCCTAAAGAGAAGTAAGAGTTAGTTATCACAAAAAAGTTATTTTTACACTGCAGGGTGTAAGGTTGAACTATGTTTAAGGGGTTTGAAGAAAGAGTTACTGAAATGTAACAAAATGATAAATATTTATGTTCTCAGAAGTTTGATGTTTGGCATTCCATGAGGTAAATCAGCAATATAAAGTTAGTTAGAATTAATGATTTTATATGTTTTTAGCTAACACATACCCCAATAGTATCATCTCCTTCACCCTCACCTTCCCCTTCATTCATTTCTGGAAATTAGTAGTAAACTAAATTTTATAAAAGGTAGTGTTGTTATGCAAATCTATATAAATAGTCAATTGGTCACTTATGTAGCCTATCTACCAGATGATAGACTACTGATTTATTATCATATGGCATTGTGTGTGTATTCACCTGAACTTTATGAATAGCGTTTTTAGTAAAAAGTGGAAAAGATCTTCTATATATATAATACGCTAAGCCGATTTTTGTGAACAGAACCCCTCTCTCATTTTAGGACCGGTTTTGATAATTAAAGTGTAAAAAAAATGGCCCTGATCTGTAGTTTTGCAAAAAGTTTTTCATTTTTTGAAGTCTTTATTAGTTTGGACAGGATCTTCCATCAAAGTTGTGTTTTTTCCCATAAAATTAACATGGGGAATCTGAATATTTAGTTGTCTCCACTAATTTGAGAGAACGGCTGGGCGTAGAAACTTCATAGAGGTGTCCAAAGAAAGGTCTCAATCAGTAGGTAGATGAGCCATATCAAAAGAAAAACAAAGTAAATTCCCTTAGGGCTTTGCCCCAGAAACCTTTAAAGTTCCCTTCCCAGATTTGTTTACATTATCGTCATCTATACATATATTTATATATTAATAGGCAAGCTGGCAAGCATGTTTCTTTAAAACCTTTTTTCTCAGCTCGTGTGCATCGCAGGGAAAATCTACGCATACTATTAAAAAGATATTTTCCTGTAGATGTGCTAATCTCTTTAAAAATTAAAATAGGCTCAAATATAAGCACAAAAAATGAATTTGAAATAAAAAAAAATTAACATGTGCTTTATGGGTTGCCATGCTGGTGACGAAATAACAACGAAATAAAACAGAAAATCAATACAAATAGAAGAAATTACAATCAACTTTTAAAAAGTTTTTGTATGTTAGTGCACTTGATGGAGTGTAACTAATCCATGTTAAAATGGTTATAAATTTACTTATTGTTCTAGTATGGAATAAATTGTAAATAAATACTAGTTAAAAAAAAAAACATGTTAGAGCGGGTGAAAATGAGAGTGAGGTGAAAATAGAGAAGCCTGTATACCTTTGAAAGCTTTGACTTACAACCATCGATCTCTATTATTAGAGATCGATGCTTACTTGACATTCCATCCCTATGTTAAAGTTGACGCCAGTTTTAATTAAATTCGTCGTATCTGATGAGGGCCACCAACAGATTGCACTGATCTAAATGACTAATAATTTATCTCGAATACACAATGATTTTTACCAAGTCAAACTTATGGAATGACTTGTTAAGAGCTATAGCAACTAACTGTTAGGACCAATCAACTTTGTCAGCAACAAAAAATAAGATAGAAAATATAATTTTAGACACGCATACTGTGACTCGTTCACTACCTACATGTTTTTTTTTTTTTTTTTTTAAATTGGGACATCTGGTCTATATAGATGGAATGTCTACTTCAGTATTCAATATTCAATGCGGGTAGATTACATATTTTTGGTTGAGTTTTCGACCACTGGACGACCTCTAGTATGGATAGTTTTTTACTACTTTTTAATGAAACAGATGTTAATATTTAAATGAGAAATTTCAATTATTTAATATAAATTATGATAGACATTTTACAAAAAAGAGTAGAGGACTGTAAAATTAGAAATTGACAATCAATTTTTACACAAAAAAATTTGGAATCCCAGCTCCATCTTCAAATTCTCTTGCTGACCGCCATTTCTTTCTTGTTCGCCTCATACACATACTGGTTGCCCTTAAAACAGCACAAATTGTTCTCGATCTTATCCAACTTATTACCAACTACCGGTATATCACATGGTTAATATTTAAATTGTATTTTAAACAACACATATTATAGAGAGTTACTGAGTTTGTCATAAAGAAGTATTTGCAATGTAATTTTCTGATTTTAAAATTTATTTTGTTCTGCATTATCTCATGTTTTGCAATATAACGTTCCATTACGAAAGTATAGAAACTATTACATACCGTACAGTAACACTTAAAATGATTTCTTTGAATTATCTTATTTATATCTATTGTACGGATTGGATGGTGTCTGCCTTTTTGACCACTTTTGCCAATATTTTGTCTTATCCAAGACAGATCATCATAGGTTCATGAGATTATTTTAATACATGTTTTCAATTATTGGAAAAGATTTCGATTGTGTAATACAATGCAAAATGTGCAGAAGGGCACAATAAATTTCAAATAATTTTTATAAGAAATATGTGCACGATTTAGAAAGTCATTAATCTGCAAAATGGCAATTTATTTCAGACTTTTTAGAGATGTTACTTAAATGTATTCATTCAGCTTAGTGAAAACACAATAGAGCCTTTGAATGTTATTAAACTAACTAAAAGGGTTGTGCATGTTTATACTAGCACTACTCAACAACAAAAACCATTTAATTTATCTCTAAAAGAAAGTTTGTAAAGTGCACCGGTAATTTACCAAGATAGTAACATACAAAATGCCCAAACTATATACTACAGAAAAGGTCAGGCATAGATAAAACGTCATACTTGAGGAGTATGTTTCATCTATGGTTCAGGACAGAGCCATTTTAATGCGTTTGGATTGTGGCATTTATCGATTCGGCTTATATTTTTATTAACCAACGGATTATTCATCTACAGAAGAAGTTCATCATGCCCTACTATAACTAGACTTCTCATCCCATTGTAAATTTTGAAACACGTTTTTCGTGTCTAGTTCATGTACGTGACACAAAGGCGCTAGTGTCGACGAAACTTTGTTTCTATTATTTTAGGGTTAATTTCTTGATTTGTGCTTTACTGTTTGGTTATATAACTAGGGGACAAGTTATGGTTTATGATTAGATCTTATTATTAGGTTAAGAAAGGTTTTAAATGGCTGTAATAACGGGAAACAAATTGTAAGCAAAACACGAACTCTACATAAACCGTACAGAACTAACAATAAAATTGTCCTCAGCTTTCAGCTGTTCCATAAGGATGAGAACTAAGGGTCCCTTAGTAAGGGAGTGTTTTGGTTTTATAGTATGTTTTATCATAGACTAGCCAACAAGTATGTTTTATCTATGGTTCTTTCATAGACTAACCAACACAAGTAGACTTCTCAATAAAAATCTCATTGTAAATTTTAAAGCTCGTTTTTCGTGTCTAGTAACTAGACTCTAGTTTATGTCCGGCGACACCGATCGCTAGTCTTGACAAAATTTTGTTTGTATTATTTTAGGGTTGGTTAATTTACTGATTTGTACTTTATAGTTTAGTCAAATAACTAGGAGACGAGTTATTGTTTATGATTAGATCATTAATATGTTTAATCTATCATATAATATATTCTTAATTTGTTGTGTCACATATAATTTCATATAGTAATGACTAAGTTATTTTGTGAACACGAAGTCGGTTAAAAACATAAAGAGAAAGAGACGTTATCTGATCAAGGCACCAGTGATATTTTAGACGAAAAGGTTTCTCTGTTTCTCAGCTTCGGCTTTTTGCAAATGTGTGAGCTATAAAATGAGTTTCTTTGTTCGAATTTTGCTCTAATTTTCTGATTTAAGAGTTATTTTCTATTGGTATAGCTGTTAAATAAATCCTTTATTCTTTTAAATTCATGAATATCAACCTACTCTGAAGACCAAACGTCGACACAATCATGGATATGGCACGGGAAGGTGAGCTCTGTTTTATTTTGTAATTTAAATTTTCGTTTAATTACTAGGCTAATTTTATTTCCTCTTAAATAAAAATTTGTTTTTACGGTGGTTTGTTTATTTAATAATCTTTACATTCATCTGCTTTCATGGATTAGGAGATGACATTTAACTGATTTTACAATTTTAAGTAATTTTTTTAAGCTTAGCATTTTTTAGACAAGGCCTAGGCCTAGGCTGCTCAAGTTACTGCGAACAAAACTTAAGGACTAAGTTAGCCTATGCCTTTTAAAAGTAGGGTTTCTCCATTAACCCTCCGAGTGTCCCTTGTTTTGGCCTTTAATGTCTGCCTATTTTTTTGCTCATTTGCAAGGTTTTATTAAACCGGATCTGAGAAGCTTGAAAACAATGTTAATTATACTGTTCTATATACCATTTAGTTTGGAAAATCACGGGCTTCAATATTATACATAAAACATAAGGAACATTTGTTTCAAAAAAATTTTAAGGTACGGTAAAAAAAAATATATTTTGGAAAATTAAAAAAAAAAAGGTTTGCGCTCAATGAAATTGTATAAATTATAGGCCTATAAATATTTGAAAGTAGCCACTTTGTTCTAAATTTTATGAGGATTACAAATATATAATACTTAATATAAGGAAGAAGTACTTAGATTTGCAAATAAATAAGTTATGGGCAAAAAACAGATTTCAGTACATAGCGTTTAGCTAAGAATGCATAGCCTAACCATAGCTAGGAATCTGGCTGATAATTTACATCAATATCACTACCTACTTCTTCAGGATCATCAACCAGCCCTTCAAAATCACTTAAATCTTCTTAAATAATGCATCACGTATATCACTACTTTTGATTTTTAACAATAAAACAATTATAAACGTAATAAAACACATCGGTCCGAGGTTAACCCAGCTGTTTACAAATACGCACGTCAGCTGTCTGCTACAATATTTTCGGAACTAAAATGAAAAGCGCTTAGAGACAGACCTCCTGAGAAAGCTCTGAATCTGTCAAATAAAACGATATACCTAACTCGATCCAGTTCAATCCGATTTAGTCAGTCATAGAGCCTTCGCCGTAATCAGTGTTTGTGAGTCGCTGCAGCGACAAATAACACTCGGAGGGTTAAGTTATTAAGTTTAATCCTAATTCGGCATATTAAGTTAACGACTGAAACATGTTGGCTAGAGACCTAGGGCCTAGGCCTAAGTTACTCTAAGTTAGCCTATAACTTAGGCCTATATATTAATGAAAGGCTAAATTATGACTTCATTGAAAATATTTGGCAAAAGGATAAAGTTTCTGATGGGATTCAAACCAGGGACCTACTGCTTATCAGCCGACCACTCTATCCACTACACCACGAACACCGATGGCTGTACAACGTATCGTTGTGGTAATGGTGTTCCGGGCACCTAGAACCCAGTGACGTCACTGCTGGACGCCTAATCCACGTCTGATTACCGGACGTGTATCCTCTGTGTTCAATAAGAGCATAAGTAACACAAGTCATTCTATTAGGCACTTTTGCCTGAACGTTAACTTAAATGAGCAGTTTGAACATGACTCAAGTTTAGGGTCAGATTTTGTTTAGGGTGAAGTGGGGTAAGTGCAACCACGGGGAAAGTATGGCCACGGCTGCTTATGTGGGCCTATCTAGCTAAAAATTCTTTTTAGGAAATAACCAAAATTTGCAATTTTAGAATGTTTTATAATAAGTTGTGTAGGCTAGGCTATAAAAAGCAAAATGTTTGAAAAAAATCAGCTTAGGTTTACTTGAATTTTTAATCTTAATGCAAGTTAAACCTTAAAACTTTTTATGATGTTTAATATGTAGTTTTCAGAAATAGGTTAGCTACCTATGTGCTGGATTACCTAATAAGCTAAGTAACTTTAAAATGAGAGCCGTGGCTACTCTTGCCCCGTCACTTTTTGCACACGGGGCAAGTGCAGCCATGGAAATTGCCTGGGATAAGTAGTGCAACCATGCCGGTAAAAATAAGTAAGAAAAAATTAGAAAAAGAATATTCTTATAGTTTAATAAAAATAAGAAAAATAAGACCATAAAAAAATGAAAAGTTGTAGAAATTGTGTGAATCATCCCTAAGTTATACCCAAGTAGGTAGGGTACCCTATAAGTTAACAAGCAATAAGTTAGTAATGTAGAAAAACATATTTTTGATATTTTACCCATTTTCCGATTATTGCACACATTTTCCAAAATGGCAACAAACTTGAAAAGTGGAAAACTGTGTATTTTATGGTCTTTTTTGGTATAGGGATGCAATTTTAAGACTTATTTACTCTTTGCATTTTTGCTAAAACTACTTGTTTAGGAGCTACTACATGATGCAAAATGTAGGCCTACACCGGAAATCATTTTTTCATAGGCTGTAACTCCTAAACGTAGACTTTTACTCTTACTGTTATAGAAAAAAAACCTTAGCTAATAAATTAACAATTCTTTCGCCATTTCGCTCACAGTAAAATTGTCTACAAAAAAAAGTGGTAATTGTATAACTTAGGTAGGCAAAGTGTTAAATAAAATATATTATATACAACAATTTTTTAAAAGTAAACTTAACTATTCTAATTCCAAGATTAATTTAGACACCAAATGACACTACTGTTATAAAGTTCAATTTATTCCCTACGTAGAAAAATCACAAGTTGTTTACTTTTATAAGTGTAACTAGCTGTAACCCGCGGGCTTTGCCCCGTTTAACTTCTTAATTTTCAAGATGATCTCGTTCGCATGGCTCAATCACGTCCTGGTTGAAGTTTGTTCGCTACGCTCACTCACCTTTAGGTTGAAGTTCGTTCGCTATGCTCACTCACCTTTAGGTTGGAGCTCGTTCGCTACGCTAACTCGCCTCCAGGTTGAAGTTCGTTCGCTACGCTCACTCACCTTTTGGTTGCAAATTCAATTCAATTCGTTTAGCTGTTAAATTATTTAATTAGCTGTTGTCATAAATGTAAAAGAAATAATAGTGCTGCACCCTGTTGGTAATCCTCGTAACTTTAATGCTATTGAACATCATAGAACAGAACCAACTTGTTTAATTGAAACAGCTGTTAAGATTCATTAATTCCATTTCTCATAAGGTTAACATGGGAAACTCCAGAACCAGCATGATCGGACTATGGGAACGGGGGTTTATGGGGGGTTTTATGGGGTAAAAATAGGTTTTTCCCATTTTTGACCCTACAAACACAAAATTTCACAATTTCTTTTCAAACCATGCTGTAGAGCTTAAAAAAACAAATAATTTAGTATAGGCTATTGAAGCGTTATTATGCGCCTAATTGTTACAGAAAAAATTCAAAAAATTGTAATTTTAAAATTCCCATGTTATTCTTATGGAGAATAAGCCAACTGTTGTAGTCTGCTTGTTTAAGAACATATTTTGATCAAATTTGGAAAATAAATTAATTTCTTACTAAACCACAGCACCTTTTAATATTTTACTTTAAAAAAAAATTTTACCCTCCCTGTTGCAGCAAACCTAAGTACTCATTAAACTAATTCTGTTTAAATAGGGAATAAATGTGATATTTTTAAGGAGACATTTTAGTTTAGATCCAATCAGGCAGATGGAAATACGCGAAATCTGCAGGTTTGCTGCAGCGGGGCTATTGTTATTTTAGTAAAACTTTAATAGCTTAGTAAAAAATTAGTAGATTTGCCAAGTTTGATCAATATATATAAGCAAACTACAACAGGTAACCTTTTTCTCTATAAGAGCAACAGGGGAATTTTAAATTTAGGCCTACTATTTTTTGTGCTTTTTCTCTAACCAATAATCTTACAAAAACACTTCAATATCGTATACTTAACTGTTTTTTTTTAAGCCCTTCAAAATTGTATAGAGAAAAATTAAGAATGTTTTGAGGGTCAAAAATGAGAAAAACCAATTTTTACCCCCATACCCCCATAAAACCCCGTTCCCATGGTCTGATCACGCTTATTTGCGAACTCGTTCGAATAAACATAGGTTTACACGTCTTTAAACCAAATTTCATCGAAATCGGATCATTTTTGCTCAAGTTATCATGCTAATGGACACATATATGAATTTGAACGGATAGTGTTTTTGGCCTCTTGGGACATCAAAACGAAAAATTGAATCGGTCCGGGTCCAGATCTTACCATGAGACCTACGGTAATAGCTTATTCCCTTTATGGGAAATTTGCTAAAAATGAAAAAAAAAATATTGACAGAATCAGTGAAAAACAAGCTATTAAACACTTGCCCCAGTTGTCAAATAAATTGCCTCTTATGGAGGATTCTATGCTTGGTTGCAATTACCCCAGATGCATGGGGCAAGTGCAACCAGTAGTTGACATGTTTTTTTATTTTATTTACTTTTTATTTACGGTAAAATTTTGCTGCACGGTAGGTCTACTGTACATTACCAAAAACTTTTCCCCTTAGCATCGATCCTCTGATCTAAGTCTTCAGATCAACAGATCTACACAGGCATAATCATGACATCACAAAGTTGTCGTATAGCCAAATAGGGTAAGTTGTTACAATTTGTTACAATATCAAGTTACAATTAGGCCTCTATTTAACCCCTTCGCTTACAACGACGGCGATCCGCCGTCGCGCTCCCGTTAGCCATTGTGTGAAGCGACGGCGAATCGCCGTCCGCTATTAAAACCTGTTTGTGCCGAGTTAGTTCCCCAGAAATCCAATAGATCGCATATGCTTCTTGTTCTATGATTTCCAGGCTTTCTTTTGGTTATATTTTCGTCATCTCAGTCCAGTCCAATCGGCAAAAAAACTGAAGTTGAAATGGTGCAACTTAGCAGCTGACGACGTCTACACTGGTTTCACAGCTGATACGTTGTTGTGTTTACTTCGACGATGTAAACATTGTGTTAGAGCCTTGTTTTACTTTATTATTTTATTGAAAAGTGTAGTTATCTTATAAAATAAGTTATAGAATTTACTTAGTGTAAGTTTTTATCAGTATTTTACTTTTTCGTCGTTATAATGACTGAGTTATTAGGCCTATCATGTCGTGTTTCACTTCGTCGTGATAAAGATTGAGCTACGGTATCTTGTTTTACTATATTATTCAATTGAAAAGCTTTAGTATAATACGATGAGTCTTCAAAATAACTTGGTATTCGTGGATGAATGTGGAAAAGAGTTAGATGAAAGTGACATTATAAAACTTATAGGGGATTGTGACAGTGACAGTGATTGTGACTTGTTTGAGGAGAGTGGTTGGAGTGATGATGATGATTTGGAAGGGAGCAGAATTCAAGTGAGTAATAAGTCTAATACGCCTATTGATTATGAGACCACAGTTTCCCCAGAACATAATACTAATTGTGTTAGGCCTAGGCCTTTAGAAAGTGACCAGTTGTTGCTTGAACAGCCTTCTTGCAGCTATGCTAGGCCTATGACCCCTCCAGATGCCCTTACTGTCCAATATAATTCAGATTTGTCTAGTAGGCCTGAAATATTTGATCAGCATGTATATCTTCTCCATCACGTGATGAAGAATTGCCTAAATCAGTCCAGTTTCTTGATCGGTTATACCGCGGTAGTATGAGCGCGCCTTCTCTCTCGCCTACACCGAGTGAGGAAGCTGACGACCCTGGTTTCCCTGACTCTAGGCCTATAAATGATATAGATAGTGGCAGGCATAGGCCTATGACCCCTCCAAATGTCCAATCTGATTTAGATTTGCCTATTAGGCCTGAATTATTTGACCAGCTTGCATCTTCAATCGTGCCTGCAGGTACATACCTGCCCTCTCACCTACACCGAGTGAGGAAGCTGACGACCCTAGCTTTCCTGACCCTAGGCCTAAAAGTAAACCTGTTAGGGGCAGGTCTAGAGGAAGAGGTAGGCCTATAGGAAAAAAAGCTATTTCACAACCATCTAAGCCTACTAAAAGGTCCAAAACTCAAACTAGTAACGATACAGCTCCACCAAAAAAGAAGAAAAAGGAGGGTTGGCAGTGGACCAGTACCATAGAAAGTAATATAATAAATAAAATCCCTTTTACTGGTTGTCCTGGTGTTAGAGCAAGTTTGGCTAGAAGTTTAGGCTCAGCTCCCTCTGAATTAGATGTTTTCAATGCGTTTCTTGATAATGACTTTTGGCAACATGTTGCAACAGAGACTAATAATTATGCCAAAGAAACAATTAAGAAAAAGAACGAAGCAGGCGGGGTAGGAAAAACTATATACTCAGAATGGTTTGACACAACTGCAGATGAGATGGCTTGTTTTTATACACTTTGTGTCCTTATGTCGCTAGTAAAAAAAAGAACCATACAATCATACTGGTCGCCTAATGCTGTAACTGAGACCCCTTTTTTTCGTAAAGTGATGCCATTCCGCCGTTTTTTGCTACTGTCCACATTTTTCCACCTTACAGACAATAATAGGAAACCTGTGAATGATAAACTGTGGAAGTTGAGGGATGTTATTGAGTACATGAACAGGAAGTTTTCCCATCTGTACATACCTGATGAAAACATAGCTGTCGATGAGAGTCTTATGAAGTTCCGAGGGAGGTTGGGCTATGTCCAATTTAATCCCAAGAAGAGAGCCAGATTTGGCATAAAGTTTTACAAGTGTTGTGAATCTGGAAGTGGTTATTGTTCTAAATTTAAGATCTATACTGGAGCTGAAGTCAAAGAAAATGTACCGGTTGAAGAAGGAAGTGGGGATTCTACACAGGAGGAAAAGCTGTTAACGAGTGAGGCGATAGTCGTTGAAATGACAAAAGATTTGGCAGGAAAAGGACATACTCTGACAATTGATAATTGGTATTCCTCACCTCTTCTCTTCTATAGACTTAAGCAAATAGGTTTCAATGTAATTGGAACAGCTAACTGGTGGAGATCAAACATGCCAGAGAGCTTCAAAGAGGGTAAACTTAAGTTGGGCGACTACGAGACAGCCTATAGCCACGATATGTTAGCAGTAAGGTGGCAGGACAAGAAGCAAGTTTGCATCTTGTCTACCTTTCATCAAAAAGCTGACAAAAGATCAACTGGCAAGAAAGACAGAGTTACCCAAGAAATTATAACAAAGCCAGAACCAGTGATCTACTATAATCGTTCAATGGGTGGAATTGACCGCGAGGATCACCAATTAGCGTCGTTTCCTAGTATGAGGAGGTATGCTAAGGGATACAAGAAGATCTTCTTTTACATAATGGACATTGGCCTTTTTAACTCTTAAGTAGTGTTCAAAAAATTAACCAGAAAAAAATTGGGGTTTAGTGAGTTCAAGGAGAGGTTTGTCAAGCAAATGTTTGAGTCGCGACAACTGCCACCGTACAATCGAAGAGGACGATCATCCAACTCAGAAACACCTCTGAGGCTCCAGGCAGCAACTTGGGGACATTTTCCTAGGCCTATTCCTCCAAATGAAGTCAAACAAACACCTTCAAGAAGATGTAAGGTGTGTAGTGCCCAGGGAAAGCACAGTGACAGCCGATGGGAGTGTGAGCTCTGCCTTGTCGCACTTCACATGCCAGAGTGTTTCAAGGCATACCACACCAAAATGAACTTTGCTTGACATTTGGTGAGTTTTTATAAGTGTCATACAGTATTATAGACTAGTTCCAAAACATATATGAGCCCTATGTAGCTAAAAATGACCAATAAAAAAGTTTTTTTTAATTTTTTAATTTTATTTTTATATGGTATAATAAAAAATTATAGTTATATTTTTTTTGGAAATATTTATATATTTTGAATCTACATTTAATTTTGAATAAAAAATAATAATATCTTGCATATAAATAGTAAATGTTGCCTGAAAAAAATTAAATCAGAAATGAATGAAACTAGCCACAACAAATTCGTTTGTTTTGGCCTAGGCGGGTAAAAAAAAAATCATAAGTGAATGGGTTAATTTCAGAGCTAGGACTGGTGTGGATGGGTGACATGCTGCTACAGAGTGATCCAATGATGCTCGATCATCAGGCTGACGCTCCGTACTTCACTGAGCCTCAGCCACCATTGGATAGATCTAACCTGGTATGCCCTTTTTCATATGCTACCGGTACTTAATAGTTAAGTTAGCAGAACAAGTTTTACAGTGGTAGGTAGGGTAAGCAGTCACTGTAATCTGTTGGTTATGCTCATCTACACTTAAGTCTAAAGTTAGGTACTTTGGGCTTGCGTCAGAGCAAGTTAATGGATGGTAGGGATCAGTACAAGATTAAGCATTACTAAATTTAAAAACTTTCACGATTGTGGAAAACCTCAATTTTCTTCTGCACACTTGTCAAACCCTTTCTATAATGACAGAAATAACTTACTGACTAAATGTAATCAACTCGATCCAAGTTTTTCCCGAAGTGATCCCCTGATATTTTCTGGCCAGCCCAACCCTATTAGATAAGGATCAACCGGTAAACATTAGGACCTTAAACCCTTGGTAAAAAGGTACACTTATCGACCGGGAGAACTGGGTTCTGCTGCTGGGAAAACCAGGGAAATGAACTTGAATCAATGAATGGTGATTTTTATCTGGCTTAGGCTACCTGAATAAGAAAGATAGACCTAGTCCAATCTTTCACAAGCCACATAGAACTTTTAATATAAAATAACTTAGGCATTCATACAAATTAGCTTTCTTCACTGTCACTGACAGTTTTTCAACCAAGAAGGGTCTGATTGAGAGAGAGATGTCTTCAGGTCCCTATTCAACCTGATGATGTCTCTCTCTTACCTCATAAACAATTAGTTACCTCAAAATCCATTGATTATTCTGGATCATTTCACATGCTACAAAAAATATTTACTAAAAAGAAACTTTTACAACCAATCTATTGACAAGTGTTACAACCATGATTTGTGTTAGTGTCTGGAGCAGCCGTATCAGCACGAGATAGATGGGTTCATGATGCTGGGAGAGTTTGAGGACCCATACTGCAACGATGTCTCGGACCCGAGCAAGTTCAATATGACCACATCGGCCACTCAGACTGCTGTGGAGCCTCGCTCTCGCAAGATCAAACCCATCAAACACCCCGGGCTGAAACTGCAGACTCCTATAGCCTACCAGCGGGACACGGACCCCAGTGTCATACCTATACAGCGGGACGGAATGGGTGAGTGCAAAGAATGTCGCTCATTTCTCCACAAAGACTTGTCATAGGTTTAGTCTCAGGGCAGAGGGAGACCTAGCAAAAGGGCAATTCCACGGTGTCGGACGTAGATTTCAGACACATTTTTACTGCTATTTTAATGCTTTAAAATTACTTTTTGTAAAAAACCTTAATCTTTAGTATTTTTATTTGAAAGAACAGTTCTTTAAGAACATTTTCATATGTAACATTTTTTAAATTTTAAAATCTTTAATGGCTAAAAAAATTTTTTTCTGCGGTGTCGGACGTAGAGTGCACAAAATCGATATTTCTTTTTTCCTTATTTGACTTTAAAAATCTGTGAATTTTAAAGAGATAAAACAACAGAAAAAATCATGGATGTAAAGAAACTTATTAGCTTTAAAAAGAGCCTAGGTTCAAGTTTTTTGGTTCAATAGTTTTGACACAAAAAAAAATCTCCTACGGTGTCGGACGTAGAATTTTTGGTGTCGGACGTAGGTTGTGTGATTTTTTTAGATTTACAAATAATAGGTAGTAATTAAATGTAAAAAAACGTTCACAATTTTATATGAACCCTTTTAAACATTTATTCATGCATTTAAATGAGCCTGAGCAAATAAAATTACTAAAATCCTCTATACCTGGGTTTAAAATATTTAAATTTCGAACATTTACGTTGCACAATATGGTTTGACATTTTACCTTCAGGAAAAAAATTAAAAGACTGATAAACACTTTACATCTTTTATTAGATATTTTGCTTATTTAACTTAAAAAAGTTACAGCTTCTTAATTCCTACAAATTACCCATTCTCTACAAATTAGTCTCTTTAAAAAAAATAATGAAATGAAAAATTCATGGGCACTTTGGGTTATATGCCTAAAAGTAAGACATGAGAAAATGTGTTCAAGGGAGCACATCTGGAAGTGGACCGATGATACTTTTAAATTTATAGTGGTCTCTTGTTCCTCCGTAAGGTTCAGGAGGCTCAATTTTCTTCACAATGTCTTTGGCTTTGTACATAATACAGTCTTCATCAGTTGGCCAGAAATAGTATGCACCTGACTTGGAGCAATGCATTACTTTCACTTTGGCTTCATTTTGTTCAACACACTGTACTTCACCTGGATAGTAATCATTATCGTATTTAACCACAACCCAGTCTTTTTGAGGCACTAAATCCTGAAGGTTTAGGTCATTTCTCTCTATTTCGAAACGCTCGCCATACTCCTGTTCTGAGTCATCACTGTCCGAAGACTCCGGATTTTGAACAATTTTTACTTTTCTTTTTACTAAATCGTCGCTTGTGTCGCCTACAATTAAGAAATCTTTTGATCCAGCTGCCGTCACATAATGCACTTTGTGAGTGTTAGGTACTGGTACGGAACACTCCCATATTTGCAGACCCTCAATCACTGCTTCTTGAATATCCTTACTTGAAATGAACTTAACTAAAACAGTGGGGTTCCTTAAAGCAGCAATCTCGGCAAAATCTTCTGCTGTGCTCAGAACATGACCTGCATTGGCTTTGCAATAGTTCCAAACACTTCTCTTAACGGTTCCTCCTATGCCGTCAACCACAACTTTGCCGTGGGAAGTTGCAAAGAAATGCCAGTGGATCTCAACCTCAAACTTACTCTGTAGAAAAGGGAGAACTGAAAACATAAAGCGATTCTTGAATTGAGCTGATGTTCCATCAGAAAATACATTGACCTTAGTAATATCTGGTTGGATTGATTTTAGTTGTTGTAGCAAGAAGTTCAAATAACAGTAAATTTGATTTTTTGTGTGCTCCAGATCATCAGATACAATAACACAGCTTTGACTGACATTTTCCGCAATCCAAGCATACGATGTAAAGACAGTAGCCTGGCTATGGGTCCAATGTGCTGACTGTATTTCATTTTGGTGTAGAATGGTCGCATTTTCTGAAAAATCCATTTGAAGTAAAATTTCATTTCCATTTACGCGTGTTTTGATCTTCTGGAACTCATTAGCTTGTCTCCTCTTGACGTAAGTATGGATCAAGAAAGGTTTCAACTGAGTTGTCAACTCACAAAATGCTTCCTCAACCGAACTCAATATTTTGATTTTCTGCACGTGCCCATCAACCTTCTGCCACTGTAAGTACTTTAGGGGTACATTTTCCCCTTTTGGTTTGTACAAATCAATCAGATTGACGCATAGATGGCATCCTCTAGTCATGCATAGTTTTGATTGCGAGTCACAAACAACTTTGTCAATAAATGATTTAAAAGTGGTTGAAAGTCCTGTGTGTGGTTCTAGAGACACTAATAATAAGCGATAAATATAGCGAATAATAAAAACTCAACTTAGGGTTTTATAGTATATGCAGCATGTTACGGTATTTAACATACACTACCCAATTTTAGTACTTTGGTGTCGGACGTAGAGTCGGACGTAGGAAATATTTTCTACGTCCGACACCATGATTAAAAAAAAACCATACATGATAGATTTTTTTCCAAACATGGATCATTTAGACCTATGTAAACATGCTTTGCATACTAGTTTTCAAGCTTTAAAAAAAATCCCTCTAGCCACAGTAAAACTAAACGTACATTTTTGGTGTCGGACGTAGAATTTAATCTTTCTTAATGTTAAACATCTGTAGGGTGGACGGAAAACCTTTTTCTTAATTCTAAATTGCATTAATATTTAGCTTTACTCTTAAACTATCAAAAAAATAATTCATAAGGCTTATTTGAGTAAATTTTGTTTGTTGGTTATGAAAATAACCAACATGGTTGTAAATCGGAGTGAAAAAAAAAAACGGTAGTCTATAAAAAAACATGTATATATTTTTTATTTATTTTTTTTTTTGTAACCAATGTTATCAGTGGAAAGCTACACTAACGAGCTTTCCAAAAATGTATAACAGTAATGGGTTTGATAAAGTTGACAAAAAAGTATAGAGGTTGACCATTTTATGGAATTGCCCAAAACCATGTGATTAGTCTAATTGCTTATGAATTTTTTTATGCAGTCGTGTACCAGTTGAATAGGTACCAGTTATTGCAAAAATATATTCTTTGCAAAAGAGTACCAGTAGTACTATTCGTACTTAACTAAAGAACACAAATTCTTTAAAAGTTAGAATTAGGGCCTATACCAATTACAATATTGAAGTTATAAAAAATGTTGGCCTAATGTTGACTGTACAAAAGACTTTTCTTTATTATTAATTTTAAGGTGTGATTATAATTTAAGAATTAGTAGCATGTAGGCTAATTAAGTGTGGTAATATATGGTTTCACTATGTGTGTTATAAACATATAGCCTATACAGAATAACCAAATTATAACAATAGCCTAAATAAAATGCTTAAAAAAGCCTGCTCTACAATAATATCAGAAGATGAGCTCCACTCAGTAGTCAAGCTAAATAGGCCTACCGAACCACCTTAATCAAAGCCTGTCAATAGGAATATTCACTCATCCTGGGTTTTATCGTTGCAAGTTATTCTCGATTAGCAATAGATGAAATTCAATTAGTTAATTACAGCCGACAGACAGTGGTTTATCCTTGAACAGCATTTTACCGATTTTGTAACTTAATTTGTCTTGTAAAATTAGTTTTAACAACATATGAACTCGAATGTTAGTACCAGTACTAAACAAAAAACAAACAACCTTTTGTAACTGCTTTGACTTAAAAAGAAACAGTAAGAAATAAAATATGAACGTTTATGAAAAATATAGGACAATTAATAATCTATTTATCACGATACCTGATTGAATTAGAAATAATTTTTTTACAACATATTATCATACCTTTACATAAAAGCTTTTCATTTAAAAAATGTTAATTGTTCCAATTTTTTGCAGCCGTCTGTGAGAAGTGTGGTGCCATTGGAGTGAAGCACGCGTTCTACACTAAGGAGCGCAAGTTCTGTAGCATGCAGTGTGTGCGAGGTGCTTCGGAAATGGACACTAATTGGAATGAAAACAACCAGGCTCAAGACGAGAAGCCTTCATGGGAAAATGTTAGTTGTTGTGTTAATTGCATTATTTACTATCTCTGTGTTTTAAGGCGCTTTGAGATTTTTACTTAAAATAGTTAAATTTGAGGAAAATTTTATCAAGGAAAAGAGTAATGTGTTGTGTACGTAGGGTACTCGTGAATACTGCGTTAACTTGAGAAGGCTACCTTTTTCTCCAGGTTTCTCAACTTAGATCTATAAGGCATAAGGATACAAATTTATTAGATGTTTCAATAAATTGTAGTATAAGTTAGGCCAACTAACTACAATGTGGGTGTTTGGTAATTTTTATCAGCCAAAAACGTCAAATCTTCCACTATGGAGACAATATCTCTCTATATTTTCATTGATTGCATGCAACTAAGTTCCTCAATCTGATGTAGCTGTTATGACCAAAAGTCCCTGGAATCCTCTTTGGGGTACCCCTTGAAATTATGAGTCGGCTCACAAACTCTTTTTGATATCGTTGCATTTTGGAGTAGAGCTTTAAGGTTTGTTTCGTGACAATCCAATACTTTTTTCTGCAAAGTAGCTTGTGTTGTAGAAAAATACTATTGGTCCTTTTTCTGACTTAACACTTTTGTTTAACAGCTGTACGGATACCAGCCACAGCCGCCAAGCTTGACTCCGGCCCCTCCTATCAAAATGGAACTGGACTATGAGAAAATCCCCCCGATACCTCCTCTGCCTCCTGCTCTGCCTGCTGAGGACCCCCACTTTCCCCCGGACAAGAGTCGGATCCCTGAACTGCAAGGAACATTTGACTGGACCTCTCAACTCAATGATAAGTGCTTCATGGCCGCTCCTGTTTCCTGTTTCAGACATGTGAGTGGTGTTCGACTGTTTTGATAAAATTATTGTTTACTTGTGTTAGCAAATATTAGTAGGGATGGTCAAGTCTCGAAATTTCGGGAAATTTTAAATCTCGTTACACGAGACAAGACTTCTTTTTGGCCGAGATTTTTATCGAGACGAGAATAAAAAAAAAAAAATTAAAAACGCCTGCAGAAAGTCAACGCAATACCCGCAATACAGGAGCGTGTTGTAGTTGCGTTTCCTTTGCGAAGGCGTTCTTATTTAATTAATTCTTAAAATGTAAATATTACTTTAATTATTTTAATAATATTACTTTAATAACATTTGAGAAGTTTTGTTAAGTGTAAGCAGTGTGAGGAATGTTTCATTACTATAAAAAGTCAAAACAAGTACTATTTTATAAAAATTAATATTGCTTTTATTTTAAGATTTATTTTATTTTAGGATAAGTTGAACTCTATCCTAACTGATATCACTATGTTTCCTAATCGTAGGCATTTTTAATCAGTTAGCCGTGATTAATAAAAAAATGTTATGCTGATGTTTTTTTATAAAAGATTGTAAATATTCTTGTCTATTATCAATCATTATTTTTGTAGGCCTATTTAAACAGTCATCTAACAATGTTACAAAATCAGGTAAAAATTTTGAACGTGCATTTCCCGTTGTGTATGAGAAGGGAAATCCCGTCTCGATCTCGTCTCGAAATTTTATGAGAAATAAAAAATCTTGTCTCATCTCGAACTAAAAATCCAATCTCGTCCATCCCTAAATATTAGTTTTATTTTAAGTACTAAACCTTGTTCAAAATATGCTTTTTGGGTGGTAAAGTGTAGGCCTAAAGCCGGAGTGTATTTTCCATTTTCATTTTATTTTACAGTGTGTCAAAAATATTCAAGAATACTGATGATATGTCATGAATTGGTGTCCTCAGACGTTTCACGCTCAATGAGATTGTTAGTAGGGACTGGGGTGTGCTCATTAGTGATTTTGATTTACCTAGGTATACGATTCAAAGTTTATAAGAAATGAGGTACTAGTGCATATCTCTTTACTATTTATTGTAAGTGTGACGAAACCAGTCTATTAAAAAAAAGTTGTGGAAAATCATTAAGTCAAACAAATTTAAAGAATCACTGACCTATGTTATTTGCATTTAGCCATTTTGAATTGTAGAAGTAGTTATTTGTTTACTTTTTTTTGATTATATTGATATATATAATTATATATATAGATTATACTCTAGAAATCTAGAGAATTCTATCGAAGAATTAGATGGTTCAAAAAAGGATTCAAACCTAATGCATATGGCATAAAAAACAAAGCAGGGCAAGTAATTATACAGAAAGCCGAGGGTCTAGAAGTATGGAGAGAATATTTTTGCGACCTATTAAATGGTGAAGAGGATACAAATTACACAGAACGAGCTACATTTCAGAATGTACAACCTTTTGTACCAAATCCATCCATAGAAGAAGTAAAGGGTGCAATAAACGACCTCAAAAACAATAAGGCACCCGGAGAAGATGGGGTGACAGCAGAGATGCTGAAAGCAGGAGGCCAGATAATAATAGACAAAGTACATAGGTTAATTAATGAAATATGGGATAAAGAGACTATTCCTACAGAGTGGCAAGAAGCTTTAATAGTGCCCATCCATAAAAAAGGGGATAAACAAGAATGTAATAACTATAGAGGAATATCTCTTTTAAATGTTACATATAAGATTCTGTCCAAAATTATTCAAAGAAGACTTGAAGTATATACGGATTCCTTTGTCGGTGAACAGCAGGCTGGATTCACCAAAGGCAGGTCCACTGTGGATCAGATTTTTATACTTAAGGAATGCTTAGCAAAGTACTGGGAGTTCAACAAGGAATGCTATTGTTTATTTATAGACTTCAAAAAAGCGTATGATAGCCTATTCAGAGCAAAGATATGGGAGAAAATGGAAAAATTCGGAATACCAGATAAGCTTATTAAATTAGTAACCACATGTGTCTCAAACTCTCGTTGTAAAGTGAAGATAGATGGAGAAACCACAACTAAATTTAATGTGAATACGGGGGTGAGACAGGGGGATGGACTCTCCCCCCTCCTATTCAACATTGCTCTAGAGGAAGCCCTACAAACAATAAAAAATGCACACATGGGACTAAAACTAGGAACGAATATTAATATATTAGCTTTTGCAGATGACGTAGTACTGATGGCCGAAAGAAAAGAAGATCTTAGGGTTTTAACGGAGATACTAATAAAGGAAACTGAGTATGTAGGGCTAAAAATAAATGATGCAAAAACCAAATTCATGATAGTAACAAGAGGAGAAGCTGGAAATAATGAAGAGTTTTTTCAAGTCAACAACCATGAATTCCAAAGAGTAAATAATTTCACCTATCTAGGCGTTCTACTATCTGACAAAAATACGGAAGACATGGAAATTCAGAATAGGATAAATTTAGCAAATAAGAGTTGGTACGCATGCAGTAAACTAATGAAATCAAAACTTTTAACGAGAAAGACAAAAATTAGAATCTACAAAACTATAGTAAGACCTGTACTTTTATATGGAGGGGAAAATTGGATCCTGAGCAAGAACTCAGAAAAGAAAATAATAACTTTTGAGAACTATATATGGGCCAGTATGTGAAGATGGAGTATGGAGAATCCGCCACAACCGGGAGCTAAGAGAATTATTTCAAGACCCTGATATCATTGGAGAAGTTAAGAGTAGAAGATTAAGGTGGGTTGGCCATATCCTGAGGAGAAAGGAGGAGAGTCTACTGAAGACAGCACTCAGAGGAAATCCGAGGGGAAGAAGACCAATAGGTAGACCGAAAGCCAGGTGGTGGGGTCAAGTACGAAAAGATTTGGAAAGGATGAGGCTTGTAGAGGAAGATGCATGGGACCGAGACTATTGGCGACAGCGTGTTGGCGAGGCCAAGTACCAGCTAGGGTACAAGTGGCCATGGCAGTAAGCAGTAAGTAAGTAAGTTATTTGTTTACAATGTAAGGCATGCAAGTGTGTTTGGTTTTGTTTAATCTATGATGTTAGATGTTTACAAACTTGTCTTTTTACAGTCTCCAATGGCAGATTGCTGGGACAACATAACCACCGGAATGAAGGTTGAAGTAGAGAACTTTGACTGTGACAATTTCTCTGAAGATTTCCCTAACTCTTTCTGGGTTGCGACTGTGTTGAAAGTGTCCGGTAAGTGTTAACTTGTATTTGAGCTGAAGTGTTTGATAAGGATTTATTTTTATAAAGTGTAACCCTTTGAAAACAGTTTTTTTTTTACTTATTTAACATAGGCCTAAGAATTTTTAGAGCTCCTATGTCTTATCAATTTTTACTCTTTAAGTTACTTCTATGAAGAACTTTTCAATATCCTTTTAGTTGAAAGCACAATCTAACCTCAATTAATTTTATTTTTTTATTTTTGTGTAAATAAGTAACTTATTACAGAACGAGATTAATTTTGGTTTTGGTACAATAAATGTGGCTTATAAGATTGAAGTTAACAGGTAAAATTATTTAATTCTTCCATGGATTAAATTGACAAGACAAATAATTCTGACAGTCCTTAAACTAGGATTATTCCAGATTTCTAATTAATATTCATAAAGCTAATAGAATAATAAGGAATAGATTGTAGTTAAATGGAATTGTTGCAGTTTGAACTCAATGAATTTGATGCTACTCGTATTTAAACAGCCACAACTGAAATTAGAATATTTTTGTGTGTTTTCCTTAAATATTTGTAGTATTGAGGATGAATTGTGATGAATTATTTAAGTTTATCCAATGAAATGCTCTTATTCGTTTGGGCTAAACATCCTATACTAATGATATTCCAATAAGCAATATATTTAGATTTACTCAGTCCAATACATTTGCTGTTGCTCAGTCAATTTTGCCAGTTAAGATGTGTTTTCTAATTTTATTTAAATTTCTCAGGCTACAAAGCACAATTGAGGTACGAGGGTTTCGGCACAAATTCTGAGAAGGACTTCTGGGTTAATCTCTGTTCCTCTTCAGTACACCCTGTAGGTTGGTGTGCAACTCGGGGCAAGCCCCTCATCCCTCCTAAAAGTAAGTGACTTGTCAGTAGAGTTGAGTTTGAGTCTGAACTTATTTTGAAGATCACATGATGATTTTCCTTGGCTATTTAAATTAAGTAAATTACGGCTATTTAAGCAAATTAAAAATGTACAATGGACATTGTAACAACACAAATAATAACTTTGCAAAGGTTATTTGAATTTTTTTTAAGTTATAGAGCAGTGTTGAGGTATCATGTCAAACAATCCTTAACAACTAGAGTGGCGTAACTCGCAACATATGTTTCTGTGGTTTTTATAACTCCACCAATGACAGGCTAACAAAAGGATCCACTTGTTGAGGCATCGTCAGAATAAGTTATACACAGTTTAAACACACAACAATTATAAATTATTGGGGATTTTAACATTGTTGCTTTCAATATTTAAAAATAAAAACTGTAACTTTGCTTGATGATGTAACAGTGACATTATTAACTTGCCTTGTTTAGGAAATAAAATATTTGAAACAAGTTAATGATTGTTCTAAGCATTGTTATATTTTTCAGCAATTGAAGACAAATATAAAGATTGGAAAGACTTCCTAGTCAAACGGCTAACAGGAGCTAGGACTTTACCGTCAAATTTCTATTCCAAAGTTCATGACAGTTTAAGATCCAGGTTTAGGTAAGTTTGCACTTATTATATACATGTGATCGTAGATCTTAGAATTGTACATTTTTACATAACAGCATCATTTACTTTCATATCAGCATAGTTTTTTAACGGGTAACGGACCAATGAGGTTCAAGGATTGAGAGAGAAGTAAAATTGTAGTGATTCAAACTTCAACTAATCAGCTGTTCAGGCCAATTTAATTGTTGAGTAATGCAATTAGTGTTTGGTATAATGTTTCGTTGCATCATTGGCAGAAACAATGAGAGCTTATAAAAACATAACCTCTCTTAGTTAGAAGTTATGATTGGTGATTGTTAGTAATTAAAAAACGGTTGCAGGTAAAGTAGTGTACGCAACTCGCGTTACGCGATTGTTGGCTTAACTACTATAAAATGACACTAGATCAGATGCAACAATATTTAAAAAAATGTTATCTTGGGGCAGAATCAAAATTATTATTTATCATTTGACTTTTGTCATTTAAATTTTCTTTCATAAATCAACTTTATTCCATAGCATATAAACTCTTTTCCACCAGGCATCCTCAAGAAACTAATACTGAAATTTCATAAATCAACTTGATAAGAAGCAATAGCAAGTTTTGATAAATTTTGAGTAATTAAACCCTTGTCGTGGGTAAAGTAGTGTACGCAACTCGCAAGGCTCATACCTTAAAATTTCTACTCGGGTCGTTAACACTATATTCTCGAAATTGTTGCGTGAACTACTGTAAAATACTGTTAAGGTTTTCCTCTAACAACACTTACTCATAATTTAGTTTGAGTGAGGTAGTTTGATTATTATCTTGGATAAATAAAAGTAACTACAGTATAAATATAAATTCAGTGTAAAGGAATTGTTCAGTTCTGAATTTAGTTATAGTACAAAAGTAATTGAATGAAGTAATTTAATTCTGCCTTGATTTATTTAATATAATTCTAATCTTTTCCTTCTAATCTTTTCTTTTTTCAGGTGTGATCTCAATTTAGAGGTGGTTGATAAAAATAGAATATGTCAGATCAAAGTAGCTTCGATTAAGAAGATTGTTGGCAAACGGTTGCACATTAGATACTACAACACTGATCCTGAGGAAGATGGTAAGTGGTTGAAATTTGTTTGGATATTGCTTTGAATCAAACTATTTTTTTCATCTTCCTGTTCTGTGTACGTTTTCTGTGGTATAAGTGCAATCAATAATATGTCAACTACTATTTTTTATGAAAATAACTGAAGTGTATCCCAATCCCACTGTTTTAAAAATGTTTCTAGAAAGCTACTTTGAGCATAGTTTAAATGTAATAATGTGTTACCAAAATTTATTGATTCTCGATACCAATAGGTACCTGAAATATTTATTCTCAATCCTTGATATAGATACGAGCTTTTAAAATTTTATTTCTGTATAGATTGTTTATTCTACACCAACCCCTGCCTTTATGATGCCCTTCCATAAAGTATTTTTGGACTAATGGGGTGTTTTACAAATAAAGGAAAAATGAATGCAGTCTATAAAAATTTGAATTTGCAAATTTAAGTTTAAACTCTTCTAACACATTGAATGAATGCCAGATTAAAGGTGAATAAATATATCCCCAAAAATATGAAAAACCATTTTTTTTTTATAACTAGAGGTGTGCCAGAGCCTGAGATTTTAGACCAAGTCAAACCCATGGACATCATCATCATCTCCCACGGTCATGACAAAATCATGATAATTTTCCACGACCGTGTAGACATTAATATCGTCTCCACTGGTCACAGAAACGTCATCATCATATTGCAGGATCACAGTGAAAGCTACAATTTTTGGATTTTTGAAATTGTTTAAATACTATATTTTATTTGGATTGTCTTGACTTAGAAGGAACAGTTAAGAGGCTCCAACATTTGATGAGCTTCCAACATTTTATTTTAGCTATGGTTTTACAGTACTTTTTGTATTAAATATCTTCATAACTGTGGACTATGTTTACAGGTGGGTTTTGGTGCCACGAGGACTCACCTTTGATACATCCTGTGGGCTGGGCTCGACGAATCGGACAGACTATTGATGCACCCCCTGCATACATTGATAGATGCATGAAGGTACCATCTTAATAAACTTCTTTTTAGCTATCAGATACTTATCAAAATATCACTTTTACTTGAGGTTTTGTTAAGAGAAATCCACGCGGTTGTAGAACTCATTATTATTGACCAAGGATTGCATGACATGACAAATAATCGATTAAACATAGCTTGCCGTACTCAACATGTGAACCGTAAGTTTACTTACTACTTATTTTTCGACTGTTAATCAAAAGTCTCATTTTCTGGCTACAAAAGGATCTACCTAAGTAAGTAATTACACGGTTTACACACAAAATTAAATGGATAAAGATATAACTACTGACTAGACATGAGTGTGCAGAACCAGAAGCAGACTTTCTATGTGTAAACTGTGTACTGTTACTTATTCTGAGTAATGACACTATAAGAGGTGGATCCTTTTACTTTCTCTCCCTATACATAGTATTATATGGAGAAAGTATTGTTTTTGTCAAAATTGTTCGTTTGAGTTTTGAGTGGATATAATCCATTTTGTGTCCCCCTGAAACCAAAAAAGTGGTTTTTGAAGTGATGTCTGTCTGTAAGCTATGTGTAGATGTGTACAGAGCTACAGACCACACCTGTAGTCCGATGTTGATGAAATTTGGTATGTAGGTACTAATCCATGGTATCTCCAGGCGTTTTTTTAATTTTTTTGAAATTCTGATTTTTAATGGGGATTTTTCCATAGTAGTCCTTTAGATTCTGAACGAAATTGTACAAATCCCATTTCCAAATTACGGTTCGAAAGTTATTGTAACTTAGGTTATCTTCCCATAAAAAATCCCATAAAATTACAAAAAATCAGATCTTGGAAAAAACTTGGTTTTGATTAAAATTATTGTGCTATGGTCCTTATAATTATAAACAAAATAATGCAAACCCCATAATGAACTGTAACAATTACAGTTCAAAGGTTATTGCAAACTTTTGTGATTTTTTTCCTACAAAATTATCATACATAGTTACTCCCACCGCTTACCCACGATAAAGGTTGTTGACAAGCTTATGGGATAAAGTATGTGGCTGATACCGTTTATTTTGTTGTCTGATGTTGTGTTTTAAACACAGAGAAGTAAGATACAGCGGAAACATGCGTATGGAACAACCGTACGCTTTTAGCTCGAGAATGGTGGGGCGGAAATATACTAGTAACGAGCCAGGAAGAGCCCAAACGGCTATTGTTTACAACCGCACAGGCTCTTCCTACAGCGTGAGCGCTATAGTACCTGATGGTGAGGGTGGAGAGGAGAGCGGTAGGGGACGACGAGTAGAATTTGAACCTGAAGCAAGCGACTGGTACTAGACACGACTTAAGTGAACCATTGAATTTTTTCTCTCTGTCTTACTTCTCTGTGGTTTTAACTAACTGTCAAAGAGCATAAGTTAACTACAAGTTCACATGTCAAGGATAGTTTGAAGTTTGAAGAGATATTTTTTAACTGTTTTGCCTAAAAGCTTACAATATTGTAATGTTAGCACTATCTGCCATAGGGCTCACATCAAAGCAATGTTACGTTGGATCATCTTTTTCCCAGGTCAGATTTTCCTTGATTGAAAAATGAAAAACGCTGCAACGTATTCTTCTAGTGTAAAGTGTAACTTTCTTGTTCCACAATGAATTCTTTTCCATTAATTCAAACTTTGTTATTTGCCAGGGGCTTAGAGACAAAGACGATGCCTCGGAAGAGTTGTTCCCAGTCCTGACCAGCAACCCGTTTGCTCCTGCCTCACAATGCTTCCAGGAGGGGATGAAGTTGGAGGCTGTAGATCCCCTCAACCTGTCAGCCATCTGTGTAGCCACTGTCATGAAGGTCAGCATGAGTGGGTTAAGTATTACGGGGTGAACCATTCATGGTGGTAGGAAGTAATGGTGTTTGGGGTTTTCAAATAGTTCATAGATTGGAAATGTTCAGATTGGGGACGTTTATTATGCAGTGGTACAACTTTTTTAATACCTTTGCTAATAGGCAATTTATTCTTCATTTTCTGTGTAGTCAAGTACAAAGGTTCAACTGAAATCAAAATAAGTTCATTATTTTACAGCCTAAGTTTACTTAATTAATTTTCTTTACCTCGCTTAATTTCTGACTATAAATTGGTCATGTTATGATTTTAACCTCAACAAGTGGCATTTAATTGCAGCTTGGAATTCAACGCCTCACTATAGCTTAAGTACAAGACACATGGTGCACCACAGCTGAATTAGGTTAAGTGAAAAGAATTTTAAAACCTAGTCTGGAGCGATAGTTTGGTCACTGCCACACCACAACCTTTACCTTGTTACTTTGGACAGCCCCTTCTCACTTTACACTGGCTTTAGCTCAAATATTATCCTTGGAAACTATCTGGAAATTCACAATGGGTTTTCTCTAGGTTCTAAACGAAGGCTATATCATGATCCGAGTGGACTCGTACGAGGACATAGGTGGTAAGGACTGGTTCTGCTACCACATGAGCTCCCCGTACATCTTCCCTGCAGGCTTCTGTGCCTCAAATAGCATTCCACTGTCCCCACCCAAGGCCTGGGAGAACGCACAGTTTGACTGGGCAGAATACCTCAAGACAACCGGGACCACCGCGGCACCCCTCCATCTCTTTAACAGGGTGAGTGACAGGACGAAAACCACTTTACTCCCACTTTCTTCATCTTTTTTCAATCAGATTTTGTTAACGGAATTGAATTTCATCCGAATGTGTATGTGAATTTGTTATGGATGTGTATTTAATTTTTTTTTATAATAAAGTTTGACTAACGTCTACTTTAAAGAATGTTGTGTACTATGAATGGTAGGGTAAGAATCCTTAAAAAAAAATCAAGTTTTGTTCCAACAGTCTTTAATTAAGTTCAGGGTAATTTTTTCCTTGAGGGCAAGGCGCAAACTGGTATCTTGTTTTAGGGGTCGGGTCCTCCTCTGTAAAAACTGATTTAAAACCTTTTAGACCATGGGTTTACAGTATGCCTCATTATTTGTAAATTCTTTTCGGAGATTAAGTCATCCCCTGCTGAATAAATCTTACCTGAGCCTAAGCAGGTGTTTTGAGAGACTGTCTCTTGGGTCAGCTCTTGAGCTAACTTGTTGCAATGCTGTTCATAAAGCCTTTACTACCTGTTTATCTTGTAGGAGATACCCAATCACGGGTTCGTGGTTGGTATGAAACTAGAGGCTGTTGATCTGATGGAGCCTAGGCTGGTGTGTGTGGCTACCGTCTCCAGAGTTATCGGGAGGCTATTGAAGGTTTGTCAACATTTACGCCCACTTTACAAATACATCATTAACAGACTGCTTTCTGTTAAATAATTTTGTCTGCCATAGGTAATACATCAGACATATTTGAATTTAGAAGTTAGGTTTTGATCAATTTTTTTTAATGTTCAATATCTCAAAACACAATAAACATTTAAGGTTTGTATTTGTATGGTTGCTAATTTAGGAATTGGCTATGCAATCAGGAAATAATGTATTGTCTGTTTCCCATTATAATTGTTAAAGAATACTTTTACTTTGATCATGAACTACTTTCTTCAGGTCACTAGTTTACACTCTTACGTCAATGTTTGAATAAATATAGCACTTCATCAAGCTGGGTCAAGCTTTTATCCTTGATTGCTGTAAACATCAGTGGAAATTGTGTGATACAAAATTTGTAATTTCCACTTTGGTGGGAGATTTTTATGATTATGCCATGATCACAGGAGCAGAACGATGATGATATGCGACTGTGGGGAGATTGTCAGTGATCGTTATGTACTCAATTTTTACATTTTTCTCATTACCATCCACTATTCTAGCTACCTAATAACAATAAGGGACTGGATTAGTAGTTTCATAGGTTTTACTAAAAGATTGTGTTATGGTATCATTTTATGAATTATCATGGTCATTGTTTTGCATTATCAGATCCACTTTGATGGGTGGGAGGAGGAGTACGACCAGTGGCTGGATTGCTGCAGTCCGGACATGTACCCGGTGGGCTGGTGTCAGCTTGTATGTCACAAGCTGGAAGCACCACCTACTCCGGTTAAGAACGGCGTCAATCAAGGTAGGCCTACAATCTATATAAGTCACAATTGAACTTGTTTCAAGCCACTAAAACTTGAAAATCAGCATCTTCGACTTGATTGTTGATTTTTTCAATATCAGCCACCCTTTCTCTCTCTGCTTGGATGAAATTTTCATAATTTACTAGAAATAAGTAGTTTCATACCACCAAAACTTGAAAATTGGCCACTTTAAATTGATTTTAAATACTTATTTTTAATATCAGCCCTCCCTCATCATCAGCCTCAGATAACATGATCACAAATTACAAGAAATAAGTTGTAATTATCAGCTAAAAACCATTATTAAGTAAATATTTGCAAATGAGTCAAAACTTAACTAAAAATTTTCATTTTAATTTTAACATTACTTAAAAAAAAGGACTGTACTGAAAATGCTAGGCTTAAAATAAGTGAAACTGGTGTTCACCACATTGAAAACTAATTAAATGGAGATGCAATTTGTTTTTAAATCTATGCTTACAGATAAAAATTTGGAAATAAAAGTAAAAAAATTGTGTGATTTTTTACTATCGTCAACCTATTGTTTCACCAAAATAATTTCTTAAATATTTTTGATTGATCAAATCTACTCTATATGTTCTTTTAACTAACTCTAATAGTAATAAAATGAAAATAAATGTACCAACAAGGTTGGCTTAATCTGTAAACTAATATTACAAAATAGTTTTGAGATTTTTACTGAACTCCACACCATCCTAACTCCTTTGTCCCTTGAAAGTCTCACCGAGAGGTGTCTGGTTTAGGCAAGACAGGCCGGATAGGTCGCAAGCGCCGACGCCGCATGGGAGGGAAGAAGCCTCCCGCGGTGGCGCTGCGCAAGCCCGTCACCGAGAGTCCGCTGGCGATGCCACTACGACCGGAGTACGCTGAGTGGGTCAATGAGCCTGTACAGGATAGCGTGCTGACAGGTACAATGTAGACCTGCACGCAACCACCGCACCAACCCTCCTTATCCTTATGTATGCTCAACTTCTGTGCCAAAACATATTTAAATAAAAGTCACCGAGATGTAACAGATATATTATCAAGACCTAAAAGCTATTTGGTGTAAAAATTGTTACTAATACCTTAGGACACACAGCCGGTACTCTATTCCATGTTCATTGTGCAGAACGAAGCACTCAAAGCCATCTCAAAATAGCAAACTTGGCAACATACCAGCAAAATGCTAAAAAAAAATTTATGTTTCTTAATTATTTAAATTGTCGTATTAAACATGAGTAAAACTTTCTTTGCACCTTCTCTAGGGTCGCCAGGACAATTGAAATAACTTGCAAGCAACGAAATGCAATACCTCTGTGTAGTAATTTTGTACAGCAAAACTATTTCCTATAAGACCTCTACTAAACTTTGAATTGATAATAAGTTTTAATATTTTTTGTTAGGCTGGCAGGCTTACCTGAATGTGTCCTGTAAAAACACTAACATTTTACTGCAATATAACACAAAATATGATTTTTGCTGTGAAAATCTTTAACCAAGTGATTTTTTCTTTGTAGTTCAACTGACTATTTCTTCCTACTGCTTGTGATAGTTTTGCATCTTGGTTAAATTGATGCCCAGTTATCTACCATTATACAAAGTTATGTTAAACAATTGGTAGGTGTATACCAAACAGATTTTATTATGCAAGTTGGTTTAACGTAATAATAAATAGTTTGTTTTGGTACAATTATCAACAACAGATTTTTATTCTTGTCCAACTATAAAAAATAGATGGATTGATAAAAAGTAGGATTTAAAATTGTTTTCGGCAAGTTGAGCATACTAGTTGTGTCCAGTTCTGATCCTTTATTCCCTCGCTTGCTTGGTGGACTGCTGCTTAGCTTCTGCAGACCTTGGCTGGATGTGCTTCCTCTGTGACCATCGTGTGTTTCCTGCTTTATCAAGTCTCTTCCTTTGCGCCTTTAGCTTTATTGTGTTTTGTTTGTTCTGTTTGTAGCTTTGTCTGTTTTGTGCTAAATTTCAGTTGCTTAGCCTAAAGAAGTATGTGTCTTTTCCTCCTTCAATCTGATTTAAATATATTTGTTGTTAGTTTACTCTACTTGTTTCTTTTTAAATGTTTTAGTTTTGTATGAAACATAGCCGTTAAATTGTTGGATCAATTTTTCTCAGGTGTGTGTTTTAGCATTACCAAAATACTATCCATCATTGCTTGTAAAAAAAGTATCTCAGCCTTTTTTTAACCAAATTAATAACTAAAATCCTATCTTAACCTGATGTGTTGATAATTCTGCTAATTTAAAATGCCATTTAAACCAGCTAGTACAATTTTTAGTCTCAAGAAGAAAACTTATTGGACACCAGACCTATGTAAAATTCTAACACAAATCTTTGCCACAGACGCTCAAAATAACCTGGTTCTGATAAGGCTTCTTTAAAAAAAAATACAAGTTTGGAAACTTTAGGGTAGTAAAAAAAGTGAAACTAAATCTTATCTTGAAATAGCATTATGTATCTTCTTACATTTATCTACATCAAGTACAAAATTAGCAATTACTTTTTTTTTAATGTTCACTTCAAATTAGGGGGGGTATTGCTGGTTATAGTCATAGTTTTGACTACGTTTGTTGTTGTGAAGGTGATGAGAATATGTCGCTGGTGGACGAGCTGACTGCTAGTCACCCTGAGACGGCTCACCAGCCCCCCGCTCTGACAGGGCTGTTACCACCAGCCCCACTGTGTGCTCCACTGCTGCCTCCGCCTGCTGACTGTAGCCCCTCCCCCACCCTCACACACCATCCGACCAGCACCACCACCACCAACACTGTCGTAAGTACCAACAGAGAAGTGAGGCACAGAGAAAACATTTGATGGTAAACTTCAGTGGTGCCTAGGGCAAAGTCCAACACTGCCCCCTCACCCTTATTTATTACAACGCTCACAGTTAAGGAAGACATTGAGCCCAGTGCAATAGTAATTTCTGCACTGTTTGTTTCAATGGCTCTGGGAAAACCTCTTAACCATCCAAACCATCTGATGTCGCTGCAAAACGGATCCGAACATGGATTGTAGATACATGGGATGTAGGACGTTGTAGATACGGATCGTCTATCTAACCACCAAATCCACCTGACCTAGTCACTGATAAATGGTAGAAAAAGGAGGATAGCAGCTAGCTTACCTTGAAAGTGTGGGTAGGCCATAGAACTAGTAGAAAAACATTTTGCACACAATATTTCGCCCCCTAAGGGACTTTGTCAAGTGTAGAGAGAGTTTATAAATTACAAAATGGCTGCTGTCATGGCTGATAGCTGTTGTCAACTATGTCAAACTCTCTCTACACTTGACAAAGTCCCTTAGGGGACGAAATGTTGTGTGCAAAATGTTTTTCTACTTGTTCTATGGCCTACCCACACTTTCGAGATAAGCTAGCTGCTATCCTCCTTTTTCTACCATTTAAAATCCTGGCCTAGAGCCTTTCCTTAAACAAAACTAGTCACTGATAAGTTGAATTATATCAATTTAAAGCCAAAATAAAATTTCACTAGACTCTTAAAAGTAAGTGCTAAACGACAGTTGTAATTTTTATCCAAAAAAATTTTGGAGACGTATTGGAAAAAAGTAGGTAGGCTATATTTAGAGTTACACATAGGTGTATTGACAATTTTGACAATTGTCATATTGAATAGAAGTTTTTTAAACTTGGCACATTTACTCATATACAGTACACAAGAGATTAATGGTCCCACTGATTTAAGGGGTTTGAAAAAACACAGAACTGTGAAGACTACACATGTCCACTTCCAACCCGCTATTCTCAGGTCTGGATATCAATAGGCTCTCTATCTCATATTTCTCCTGTTTCAAGTCTGACATCTTATTACTCTCTTCTTCAATTCTCACCTTAGCTATCCTCCTTCCTCTCGGACTCCTTCCCTCTTATTACTAACTACATTTTCCTAGCAATTAATTTTTGATATTCCAAAAAATCTAAAATTATTATAGCCTATTCTAAAAGCGGAATACAGAGATAGAAGTTAAACAAAATAAGTATCTTATTTCTTTAAGCCAAGTCTCATTTTTGTAACTAAGCTCTGTATATTATTTATAAAAGTATGCTGTTTGTGTTATCTATATAACTTAAAGCTGATGTTCCATCTTTAATAATTCACACTGTTGCAGCAAATGAACGGTTGGAGTAGTGGCAGCGCTGAGTCTCCGATGGTTGGCAACCGGGAACCGAGGGAGCTAGTACCTCACCTTTGGTCGGTGGAAGAAGTCGCTCAGTTCTTACAAGACAGTGACTGCGGCGCTTACACCGACAGATTTGTTAACAAGGTAATGTCAGAAACATCTAAAGTTTTAGATCTGAATCAAAATTGAAAACTTTAAAAATTGAGAACCTTGAATTAAAGTAAGAATTTTGTGAGATTTTTAAACAAAAAATGTGCAAGATTTTGTCGCAACCAAGGGAGAGGATAATGATGTTTCCGTGGGAGATGATGTCAACACAACCGCACGAGAGAGGTTTTGAATTCCGCTTGGATCACGGTTTTAATAACAATTTTTACTGTTGTTTTAAGATTTTAAAATTATTTCTGTAAGGAATTCGGATAGTTGGAGTTAGAATGATTTTAGTTCTGCTGTATTACTGTGAAAGCATGATTTCATTCCTCACAATCGTGATATTCCTGTTGTCCCAAAAAAAATTTATCTTAAAAACAATACAAAAAATGTCCTTTAAAAATGATAAAAAATATTCAACGGAAAACGTTTTATTTTGTATTTTGTATATTTGCAAGTTTACAAAAAGTACTACTGCAAGAGAGTAGCAGAGCTTAACCCAGGGCCGTCCCTAGGGTTAGCGGCGCCCGGGACAAATGTGGTCGTGGTGCCCCCCCCCCCCCCCCCAGTAATAGTCGCATTCGCATATTTTAATACTATGTTAATACGGGATGGACAGGATTGAATTTTTAGTTCGGGGCGGGATTTTTTCCTGTGCATAAACGACCGTCTTGAGTATTGCAGTTACCAAAAAAGACAAACAAAATTAATTTTTACCATTTCTGGCACTGATCTATCAAAACCAAAAAAGGGTAAAAATTTACAGGTAGGCCTATAGAAACTTGTGACTCGCGGTCACAGCGGAATCGTCGGTATGACTCGCGGTCACGGTGGAATCGTCGATATGACTAGCGGTCACGGCGCGATTGTCTGTATGACTCCGCGGTCATGATGCGATCGTCGGTATGACTCCGCGATCACGGCGCGATCATCCAAATGACTTGCGGTCACGGTGCGATCGTCGAAATGACTTCGCCTCCTGCGTTCGTGGAATTACCGTGAACATCGCTCGCGATAGCGGCGTCATCGTCACTCGCGAAGCGGCAAAATCGCCGATCGGATCAAATCTCGTCCCAAAATAATCCCGAATCAAATGTAATCATGTCCTGATAATCGGGATTTTTCCCGAAAATTTCCCAAAATTTCGGGTTAATACCAATAGCCGTTGCGCGGCGCCCCCTCAGCCGCGGCGCCCGGGGCAGCTTGCCCCGGTTGCCCCCCCCTTCGGACGGCCCTGGCTTAACCCCTTAACCGCCGTCTAAGTAGCCTAGTCAAAATCCGCGATCGCCACGTATTTTTGCCGTTTTTTGACGATTTTGACTTGTCATTTAAAAAATGGTACCAATTGTTTTTAAAGAAAATAGTTATCAATATTGTTTGTAGACATCTTCTAAAACATTAAGCTTTAACAATACTAAAATTTGAGATGGGGGGGGGGGTTTCTTGAGTTATAATAACAATTAGGCCTACAATAAAGTTTTTTAACAGTACTCACCTTTTTTTCTTGAGTTTAAAATAAATGTTCCTTTGAAGTAAATTAAAAACTAACTATTTACAATATGTACACAAGCTGGTTTAGTTCCTTTTAGTAGTGCTTCAGAGTGTGATATTCTTTGAAGCAGGGAACGACGCACAAAGCAACGCCGCAGTCCTCGCACATGTAACGCGACTCCCGCCTTGCTCGTTCCCGCTTCGACATGTGTTTGCAAACGTCGTCTGAGAAGTCTTCGCAAGGGCCTAACTGTGAACTGGGAATTTCTAACAACTCTAATAAATCGTCATCCTCAAGCATGTCACCAGCCATTACGACTAATATTTACTACTCATTCAACACTACCAAGTAAATAACCACCAAAAACCACAATTATAATGACACGCACAGTAAACGTAAGCTTCCGCAAGCACGAGTTTTACTCAGTGTTGGGAAGTAGCGCGCTACAAGTAGCGACGCTACAGTAGCGCGCTACTTTTTTTGTAGCGTTAGCTGTAGCTACGCTACTTTTAAGATTTTGTAGCTTTAGCTGTAGCTAGCTACATTTTTAAAGTAGTTGTAGCGGAATTTTAGCTACTTTTCTCGCTACATTAACATTGTTTGAGATAGTGATTTTTATCATAACCTCAACCTTACGTGAAACAACCTCTTTCAAACTGAGATTTAAAAAAAAATTAGGCCTTACTTTCTTGGCTTCATACAGCTGGTTGCAGCCGTTTCATTCCCTATTACAACGTTGTGTGGACATGGAGGCCATTAAATGAGTGTTATCCACATTTTTGGCTCTCATTTCCTTAATTTAAACTACTCTATGATTACTGTCAGTTAAAATAAAATCGCTAGATGCAGACGACGTTTAAACGTTACCGGTGACAAGAGAAGCTATTGAATGCTTGCAAGTGATTGACAGGGAAATTAGTAATCAATTTAGTTTGTTTATTATACCGATAGTGTTTCAACTTGGATTTTAATGGAAACCAACACTAAACCTTAAAATAATGAGAAAGCTGGTCTATCAACCTTTGCTTCAGCTGTTGATTGTGGTTCATCATCACAAGCCCTTCCTTGGTTAGATTACGAAGATTTTTCAAAGGTTTACTAAATTAACAAAGAGGAAATTACCTGATGTGATTTAAGATATGTATAGACTAAATGATAATTGTAACGAAAAAATATCCATATAACATGAAACTTACATTGAAAAAATAGCATAGTTTGCTCCTGGTAACAGCTCTTGTATAGGACTATTAATTCCTAGACGAATACCAAGTTCCAAGTTCAATTATTAGTAGGGATGGACGAGATTGGATTTTTAGTTCGAGACGAGACGAGACGAGATTTTTTATTTCTCATAAAATTTCGAGACGAGATCGAGACGAGATTTCTCTTCTCATACACAACGGGAAATGCACGTTCGAAATTTTTACCTGATTTTGTAACATTGTTAGATGACTGTTTAAATACTAAAATAATGATAATAGGCAAGAATATTTACAATCTTTCATTAAATAACATCAGCATAACATTTTTTTATTAATCACGCCTAACTTATTAAAAATGCCTACGATTAGGAAACATGGTGATATCAGTTAGGATAGAGTTCAACTTATCCTAAAATAAAATAAATCATAAAATAAAAGCAATATTAATTTTTATAAAATAGTTACTTGTTTTGACTTTTTTTATAGTAATAAACATTCCTCACACTGCTTACACTTAACAAAACTTCTCAAATGTTATTAAAGTAATATTATTAAAATAATGAAAGTAATATTTACATTAAAAGAATTAATTAAATAAGAACGCCTTCGAAAAGGAAACGCAACTACAACACGCTCCTGTATTGCGGGTATTGCATTGACTTTCTGCAGGCGTTTTTAATTTTTTTTTTTTTTTTTTTTTTTCTCGTCTTGATAAAAATCTCGGCCAAAAAGTAATCTCGTCTCGTGTAACGAGATTGAAAATTTCCCGAAAATTTCCCGAAATTTCGAGACTTGACCATCCCTAATTATTAGGAATCCTATCTGTTTAGTCCTAGCAAGAACAAGCCTACTATAGCCAACTTGTTACATAGCCAAGTAGGCCTACATGTTATTTTTACTTTACAAATTTCAACATGTTTAAATTAAAAGCCGATTTCAGGATAAGTTACTGGATACTGTTTTCTGTATCAACTAGGTTGAAGCACAATTTGCCCTATGCATAATGACAATAAAGGACGATTTCTTGACATTGAAAAGTGTTATTCATAGTACAAGTAACTTATCACTTAAAAGTTTATAGCAATGTCGTTTTTAACATTAAAAGAAAGGCAATAAACTCCAATTTCAGTAGGCTAGGCTCTGTAACACAAAAAAGTATTTTTAAATAATCGTTTTACAGTTTTATTGGTCTTAATTGTTGATATAAGGCATCTATATTAAAGAAATAAAATGAGCTTTTAAAATATAGTTTGGTTGTATGTCCTTTGAAATGAAATTTACATTTAAGATGCTTAAAAATAATGCAATTTTTAAAAATAAGTACTAAATATGATGGGACACCGAACTATTTGGTTCTGTTGTTGTAATGTTAGGTTTATAATGCCAAAAAATTAAATACAATCTAGGAATAATTTGTTTTCCAATTAATGTTAGATACAATACTGACTTTTTTTAGTGTTTGTTCAGTAAAAATGTAGTTGCAATTAATTTTACATTTACCTAATGTGCGTGGAATAAAAAGTAACGTCTTTGGAAAAGTAGCTAAAATTGTAGCTGTAGCTACATTTCAATGTAGCTGTAGTTGTAGCTAGCTACTTTTGCGGAACTGTAGCTGTAGCTGTAGCTAAGCTACTTTTTTGGAAATGTAGCAGTAGTTGTAGCTAGCTACATTTTAAAAGTAGCTTCCCCAACACTGGTTTTACTGAAACTACGAACAGAACTGATCGGGACCATTACTGACCACTAAAATCCACCAGATTGTAGCACTAGTCAAGCAGCACTGTCAACAACTTGTTTACGTACGTATATCAGAGATAAGGCGGGAAGTGAGCTGTTAAAAATAAAACACAACAGCTGATTACGTCAACATGAGATAACTCATTCGTGGCGGTTGCTCTGAAAACTAGTATCGCCCGGCATATCTCGTGCGTGGCGGTTAAGGGGTTAACAAAGATTGATAGTCAAAGCTGTATGAAGGGGGAAATTCAATCAATTGACACAATGTTTGATTAGTCTTTACATTCTCGTTTTTACTTGTTTCAGAACATCAATGGAGCCCAGCTGCTTAATCTCACGCACGATGACATCATGGATCTGACGGGTATGAAAATGGGACCTTCGTTAAAGATCGGTCAGCTGATTACCCAGCTGAAAATCAAAGTGAACCCAGCACAAGAGCGAATGAAGGCAGGTCTGAAGAAGTTTCTATGAACTGTGCTTTCAAACGGTTAAAGCAACTAGTAGCAATACGGAGTTATTTGTTTGAATCTGTTCCTCTGGCTAAACTGTTTACATAAATGTTTTAACCGCCTTATTTTACGGTACAAATGTGTGTTGGGTGTGAATTGTCTTAAATTATTTATATGTAATTGTTTGACTGTCGATAAGTCGTTGAAATTCAAGTTTGTTTTGATAACCAACTCGAAATTTATAAATGAAGCAAAGGTATTATATTAAACATTCTATTTTACTCTATGAATAGTGATAAACACCAATATTTGTTGTTATCAGAAACAATCAATAAGAGTGCTTCCTTGGTGTATGGCATTTGATTATTATGGCTTAGGTTAAATGTTGCCTTAAAAAAAGGAAAAGACAGAGGAACAGATATTGCTGAAATCAAAACTTTCAACATCAAAGAGTTTCTGTCTATTTTTTAGACCAGTGTGTACTATAAATTTTAAGAGACTGTTAATTAATCCTCTTGTAAATGTATATTTTAAACCTGTTAGTGAGTTTTTTAGTCCTGCGTTGTGTATTTATTTGTCAATCATGTCTTGAATATTTTAATTTTCCCAGTATTTGTGCTTTTATTAGTTTTTGTAGGCAGTATGATAACTCATTTGATCTTAATTTTGTAAGATATTATTGTATTGTCGAGATATCGCATCATATCCTTGACTTATTATTTTTATTTCAATCTTATTTGTGTTTATACTCAATTGAGAATCCAGGTTTTGACAGAGTAAAATAAACCTGTTAAAACGTTGTACTGATACTTTAATTAACTCTTCAAAACTTCTTGTCTTAATTTACTTCAAAGGCAAAGTAAATTATTATTCATCGGAGAATTGTTGAAATTTACCCTTCATTTTTAATAGTTCACAACGTATTACCAATTAGGGGACACAATTGCACACATTATATAAAAGTTTGGTTTTTAGTTTTTGCAAAGCATAACTGAATTGGTGATTCTGATTCATCCATATTTTTGGTTTTAAAACCAAATCATAAAAAATACTGGCCTAAAGGTCCCTCCCTGCACTTCACTTTGTATATTTTTATAATGTTTTGAGTAGCCTATCCTCTACTGTAGCTAAAAACTATCTGAAAACATATTATTTGTAATAGGTATTTGTCCAGATGTATTTATTTGTGTGGTGAATCTCCAGGGTATGCATATTTTGTAAGGAAATGAAAATGATTTTATTGTGTTTGTCTTACTTTGATGTTCTCATTATTTTATTTTTTTAATGGATTTGTCATAAGATTTGGTTGTATTTTGCATCACATTGCTACTTACGTTAGCTTCCTTGTCGGTGATATTCTAGTTCTAAGGAGAAAGGTGTTATATGTGTTGGTATTTTTAAATGTGTACAACTATTCCGTTGTATTCTTTAGCAATCGTTTTATTTTACAATCAAATATACAGTTTAAAATTATTTTTTTAAATAAGATTAGTCATAAATTTAACATACTCAGGTATATATTTTTGTCAAGATAGCTGGCTTAGGCCTACTTGAATGGGAAAGACACCATACAGGCACAATAAACAAAATATCTTCTTCCCTATAGAAATTCGCTAAAACTTTGAAACTCCATACTCCATAGGTTTGACTATCTCATAATTTTCAACCAAAATAGGATTGAGATGGAAAGCAAGATCTCCCATATGGTAAAAAGTTTATGGGTTTGTGGCAGAACGGATTCCTTTCCATTCAGGTAGGCCTGAGCCTGCTAATTCAACAATCGTTAAAAATCAATGCTAGTGCCCTATGTCATGTCATTGTGGATCAGCTGAAATAATTTTTAAATATAATTGTCATTGGTCTCTCGAATGTATTGAGTAACACACGATATCGCTCAAATACACACGAGCTGTTGTTGGACTTCAAAATCACATCAAAACCGCTTTTACAATAGGGTGAGAAGCCTATGAGCAATATATAAAGTCAATTGTTTAGTTTATCACAAATAACAAGACTTAAAATAACCATACTTGGCATCAAGGCATATTTCACGATGTTACGATACATTAAAATTTCCAGTTTAAAAGAACTTTGATTTATTTATTTTCAATTCACTTTATTCAGGATAAAAATTGGTCTTTGTTTTGGTTTACTGAGTTGATTCTGTAAAAAAAATGTTAAAAGATCAAATAAATATGCTATTGACTTGCTAGATGTCCCGGTGAATTCTCATACTTTCCTTGTAATTTTATTACATTGTGATATTGTGTTTTTGTCTTTCGAGCGATTTCCATAGTTTATCTTTTAGCTTTGTTACTGCATTACAAAGTTTAAAGAATATTTAACGATTTGTATATGCCAACAGTAATTATGTGAGGCTATGTTGATATACAGTTAAGCAGTCTATGTCAATAGTAATACTCGATGCCTGAAGGTACGTACCTGACATTCTACTTGTAACCCACTGCCCCTATGCCTTGGGCCAGCACTCCGAAATGTGTATATGTACATAATAAGTATAGGACGATGCCTTAACACTGTATTTTATCTGTAAGATGTACCTAGGCTAAGTTTAATTTCGTACTAGATACGATATTGAGTGAAACGTTTTTTAAATAGTTTTTATATTTTACCCACCACCCAGAGAAATAATGTACATATTACTCTCGATTTTTAAGAAGTTTTAATTGTATAATAAATTACAGTTTTGTCATACATATTGATTGAAGAATGTATTTTAGTTTATATATAAAATAATATTGTGGGTTGCACAAAATCTTTCTTGTTGGCTGATCACAAAGATGTTTCTCACCTTACTTGTCTGTTTTATTTTGTCTATTCAGAATGAAATACTTTAAATGACTGATACAAGTTTAATTTTAAGAGTGATTAAACATAATTGAGGGTTTGCAATCATCAAGTTTAGTCAATTGCTTAAAAAACGTTTTCCTCAAACTGTTTCAGCTCATTGAGTTTGAGGTTGTAAATTTTAGATCACATGAAAACAAAACATGTTAACTTCAGTGGTACAAGTGCCATGTACTCACTATATGTCTATCATGCATAAATATAATCGTAGTAGACACAATTTGTATCGGCTCATTCACTTAAGTCCTGTGTACTTAACCATCGGTTGTCAAAACTTGCCATCGTAAATAATTAAAAGAAAAGTCGTGTGTCTTCTTAAAATATTTATTGTTGAATTTCACATAATACACTTATTCCTTTCCGTTTTTATTCTGTTTAACAACTAAACGTCCACAGTGATTTCTTTTTTGTTCCCTTTAAGGGATTCTTTAAAAGTATTTCTATTCCTTTAAAATAGGTATAACTTATAGCAAGCACTGTACCTTCAACTATTTTTTTAAATACCTTGGTTATTTTTTAAAATGTCATCCCAAATCCCAATAAGATAGCGGCGAAGTAAGCTTTAACAGAAAGTAAACAAAAAATGTAGACAGCTGCTTGACTTGTCTAATTAAAAAGACCACTATCATGTCTTTATCTTTAAAATGTAAACAGTTCAAGCATTCACAATACACTGTGCTTTAAACACATTTTAAAACATTTCTGAGGCTTTTCTACAGAAACAACTACTGTATAGGGTTTCATCATAGCCTCCTCAAAGACAAGGCCCCGGCGAGACGAAAGGGGCAACACCGCTGTCCCGTCAAACCGAAAAAGCTGTTGCACTAATTTATAATGGGCGGTGTAGAAAATGTTTATCTTTACACTTTTATTATTTCTGTTAATACCATGATGGCGATAGGCATGACATTACCACACACCAACGGCCTTGTGTTAGAGGATGCTATGGTTTTATTCATGGTAGTTTTTAATATTTTTAAACTAACTACATTTGTATTTGATTTTGAATCGCAAACATTTTCTATATTTTGTTGGTATTCTTGGGTTATTTACCACAAAATAGAATACTGGGATTTTAACTACAGCTGTTTTTTTTTTTTTTATATAAGAGTTAGTTGTCAATGTGTACGGTCTCCAATAAGTTTGGTCTCCAATAAGTTTTCCGAGTTGGGATCTGGAACTAGCACCTGTTCTTTACTTAATTCCCTACTATTCTCTCAAGTTCCGATTCCTATGAGACGATTATTTTCTTCAAAATAAGCGATAACAATGTGAGGGAAAATTAACGCTTTTGCCAAAGGAGCATGAGAAAGGGTCAGTCCCTAAATTAATTTTTGCCTTACCTTTGTTAATACAACCATCAGAATTAACTTGGAATATACACATTTATTGTCCTAATTCAGACCATATTTTGGCATAAAACATTTATACCAAAATAGTTAGTTTAGAAATTTCCACAACTCAAAAAACTGATGGTAAATTTCTTTCAGGTGTAAAATATTTTACTAATCTACATTACCGTCAAGGTAAGTAAAGAAATCACCGCTAGGTTGCAGTCAAGTGCAGTTTGGAGAAATTGCGCCATGCTGTTTAAAATCATAGTTAAAGGTTATAAAAAACAAGAATGTGCACAATTAGTAATATTTTAATTTGCAATACATAAATAACTTAACTTTTTCTCTTCTTTTAGCGTTTTATACGTCATTTTTAAATTAAATTATTTTGTATTTCCTGCAGCAGAATTAGGAAGTAGCACTAGTCAACTTAGGATTTAAAATATATCATGGGTTGGGTAAAAAGTGCATTAGGAAAGATTTATATTATTTTTAATTTACTTTGATCATATAAAATAGATAATTGTGGTTAGAAATCGACAGAAGTAAAAGGTTGTTTGATTCAGAAAGTATAGATTTATTCAATGACGCCATGTTAGAACAGCTGGCATCTGTGTCAGCAGGATACTCCTACGTGGGGAGTAATAACAAAAAGTAGTTCCTTTTCATTTAGGCTATGCCGATGATAAATTAGTATTATTTAACTACAAAATCCATATTATAGTATTTATGAACTTTAATTTTGTATACGATTGGTTCGCTTTGTTTTAAAATTCCACAAAATATATTTTGAGCGTGCACGTTGCGCGGCGTAGTAATCTCTTGTAGACACACTCGTCTCTTTCAGCTGTTTCCCGCCAAACAACGCCATAGCAAACCGCTGCGAGGCGTAGTGCGTACGGCTGGATTTGGAATTAGTGAATTGTGTATTTTTCTATGCTGATAAGAGACAATTAAATTAATTGTTACTAGTGTTTTTTGTGAGAAAATGTCTACGCTGAGTAGAAGTGAGGAAAAACTCCGGCTGGAGGATTTACAACATTATGATCAGGAGGATATTAGTTACTGCAGGTAAGATACGCCCGTATTCTCTAGCACGTTATATTTACCAACAGAACAATAATTTCAAACTGTTATTTCAAATATGTGTACACATTTTTAGATTGGTTTGTCTTATTCTATCACGGTTGCCAAGTTAAACGTCATATTGTTTATTATTCGAAGTAAAACTTACACAAACTTCCATAAACTTAGTGTATGTTATGAATGACACCGGCTGGTCAGCTGTTACGATGAATTACGCCATGTTGCTCATTCCGAGGAAAATGTAAATTACAACACTCGTACGATAACTCTCCACTATTTCAGATTGTTGATACCCTATTTTTAACTTTTACTCTCGGCCTTTAATTTTTAATATGCTCTCTGGAAATCGTCACGGTTAGCCTATAGGTTAAATTAAATTTACTTGGCCTAGCCTAACTTAAAGCCAGCCAAGTAGGTAACTTATATGCTAGGCCAGGCCTGTCGCCCAGTTCTAAAGTAGGCCTAGCCTAATAATGCTGGTTTTTAGAATTTTGACCCTATCTAAATTTAATATCACTTTGCTGTAAAGTAGGCCTTTTTCAAATCATTAAGTATTTAATGCACTCTTAGCCAACTTGGTGTTTTCCAGCTAACTTATAACTTACCTTACGGTACCTAAGATTAAGCCTAAAAAGTTAAGTTTTCCAGCAACACTAACTTAAGTTAAACCTAGTCCATCCAAATCAAAACAACAAAAGATTTTGTCCTCTACGACCAACCCAAACTTGGTGTTTTAAATTTGATTAGCCTATATTAAGTAGTCCTAGCCTAATTATGCCTTTTTGAGCGGAGCGAGCGAAGCGAGCGTAGCTCTTTGGGATCAACTTCAATGCAACAAATAAAGCAACATCACTCAATAACGGCAGTACACATTTCTGCTAAACTTAACAAGATTACTTAGACTAATAGTGAGATGGTTAATAAACAAACAAATTTCAATTAGATAATGCTAATGCAATTTAAAACGAACTTAAAATTTAAAAATTTTAACATTAGGCTTATGGGATTAAAGTAGCCATATGACAGTTTTTTGTTTACAAGAAAAATGTAAACAAGATTTGTGTTGCCAGCTGATTAGAAACAGCCAATGTTAGAAATCAGGATTTAATAAGCGATATATCGAACCGCATCGAAATCGATATTTAATCCGATAATACATCACAGGTTATATTATGTTGAATTACATCGACGTTGCAGTAAGTTAATTACACTTACTAATAAAACGCAGATTGAACACTGATCTAATTTAGGCATGCGGGGAAGGTAGGTTGGGGTTTATGAGTATTCGTGACTACATTAAGTGTTTTGAAGTAAGGTTAGATCAGGGAGGTAAAGTGTAGGTTATAGGTAGGTGATCGAGTTGTTTATTTGTGTTGCACCATATAATTTTTATCTTTTGGAATAGTTGGTTAAACGGGGAAACGATTTCAAAAATGTTTGCATATGGTCTTAACAAACCATCTACTGTAATCAATAATTCTAGCAAATTACTACATAAAAACCAAATGAAAAGAACATTTGGATTTGGACCTTTGACCAAAGCAAAACTAACATATAATTTATGAAATGTGAAAAGTTGTATATCATTAAATACTATTCTGTAATATTAATAATTATTCGGCAAATCCTCATTTTAATGGCTCGGCTGAAAATGGAATCTGCGTTTTGTGAAACAGTAATTTGGTAACAATTCAGTAATTTAAAATGTTGACAACAGTAGCCTATCCTATATAAATACTGTTATTTGATTGCCAAGCCACGGACTATACATAGGCCTACGTCCAGTTACAACCGTAATAAGTAAATAATTAATTACCTGTAGGCCTACTTATAGAAGTACACCTTTAACCATGGTATGGATAATCGTCTAGGCCTGTCCAGAAGTAGGCTACTAATTTCTAATTATATTATCTACATTTTATTTTTAAGGCATGACTTCCCTTCTTGAAATACATGATTGATAATTCAGTTCATTTTAGTCTTTACATTTATTCTAGATGTTTTACATTTGAAAATAGCCCTACATTTTTCGTAGGCCTATGTTTGATCTTTGACTATCAATACAACTAGACATTCCATCCCCATGTTAAATTTGTAACCAGCTTCTTCATCAAAATCTTTTGTATCCAATAGCCAATGGTATTATTAAGGACAGTATTAAAATGCCGTCTCTAAATCGTCCTAAATAATGGTAGAAACCTAAATTCCAGTTACATTACAATCACATCCTCCATCAAGAATACTTGGTATTAACAATCATAAATTATTTCTAGCAAAGAAAGCTGAGTTTAACCGATTGCAGGGGTTGAAATGAAGACCAATGTTTATGTTGCACAGTTGAATTTAAATATAAAATTTCCCCTCCAGTTGTAATACTTTAATACTCGTTTTTTTAATAGTTACTGTTTTTTTTATACTTTAATATAGCCTACTTTAACCGATTGTAAGGGTAAAAGATGAAGTCCAATGTTTTTGTTGTAGGCTACAGTTGAATTTGAATGTTAAATTTCCTTTCTCTTTTTTATACTTTAATGCCCTTTTTGGATATTAATTCCAGATTCCAACTACTGTAATATTTTCCTGGTCAAAACTACCATAATGCACTTTTGGAAGAGGTATCTGAATAACAAGATGTAGTAAAAACAAATCTGAATTATTATAATTTTAATCAATAAAACCAGCATTAGTACATCTATTGACTTTTTTACATTTAGTTACTTATACAAATATCAAATCACGTTTGTTCCGCTCAACTGGCTTTCACCTGTCTGAAAGCAACCCTAGTTTTAAGTTACCTAATGCAAGTTGAGCCCTATGAACCCAAACAGTTTAAAGTTAAGTTACCGGTAGGCCTAAGGTAAAATTCTCTATGTTGACTAAATAAGGCTAACTTATGCCTATTCGAGTTTTTATATGTCATTAACTTACAGTTGATTTTAACTTAGGAACTTATTTAGCTTTTTAGCGAATTTCCCATAATAGGGAATAAACTATTACCGTAGTACCTACTCATGTTAAGACCTGGACCCAAGACCGATTAAATTTTTCATTTTGAGGTCTCTAGAGGCCAAATCAACATATATTTATAGCCTATAAGTTATATCTGTGTCCGTTAGCGCGATAACTCAAGCAAAAATGATCCGATTTTGATTAAATTTGGTGCAAGCATGTAAACTTACGTTTATTCAAACAAATTTGCGATCCAGCATAATCGCACCATGGGAACGGGGGTAACTTATATGGGGGGGTTTAAGTTAGGGGTAAAAATGGGATTTTCTCATTTTTGACCCTTAAGTTAAAACAAACAAAAATTTGCCATTTCTTTTCAAACCGTTTTTGTAGAGCTTAAAAAAAGAAATAATTTAGTATGTTGAAGAGCTGAATTTGGAAAATTTTTTTTATTTCATCCTATAGGCCTCCTGACGTATGGTCAAAAACACTTTTTACCTTCCCCGTAGCAGCAAACCTAGGCACTCGTTAAATAAGTTAACTTACCGATTTTTCTGATCCTAATGGCTGCTGAGAATGTGCGTGTAGAGAACCTGTGATAGGTACATTAAACTTATTGGTCGCGTTGATTAAATTTGGTGCAAGCATGTAAACTTACGTTTATTCAAACAAATTTGCGATCCAGCATAATCGCACCATGGGAACGGGGGTAACTTATATGGGGGGGTTTAAGTTAGGGGTAAAAATGGGATTTTCTCATTTTTGACCCTTAAGTTAAAACAAACAAAAATTTGCCATTTCTTTTCAAACCGTTTTTGTAGAGCTTAAAAAAAGAAATAATTTAGTACCTATGTTGAAGAGCTGAATTTGGAAAATGTTTTTTATTTCATCCTATAGGCCTCCTGACGTATGGTCAAAAACACTTTTTACCTTCCCCGTAAAGTCAAAGTCAAAGTCCAAAGTCAAAGTCCTTTATTCAACCAGATTGACAATACATTGCATTGGCCAAGTCAAGAGATTACATTTTTATGAAATTAATTAACTACTAAATACATTATATACAAATTGTTTTCTTTTATGTTTAATAAGGTTAAAGCCTACCAGGAAATTCCCGGACGCTGTAGCAGACCTTATTTATCAACATGGACTTAACTAATTTCCTGAATTTTCCGATATCCTGTTCGGCTTTCAAAGGGAGAGGGAGGTCATTAAAAAGTTTTACTGCATTGAAGTGGAAATTTTTCTGAAAGAAAGTGGTTGAGTGTCGTGGTACTGAAAGATTGAAATTGTTGCGGAGACGATAACTATGGGTACTTGGAGAGCTATATGATGATTGGTTTTTCTTGATAAATGATAATGTTTCTAAAATGTAAATGGAAGGGAAAGTTAGAACTTTATGTGATCTGAAGACATCTCTGCAGGATTGACGACGGTGAAGGGAAAAAACAGTTCGGAGAGCCTTTTTTTGAAGCCTGAATATGAACTGAGTCCTTTGGCTTTCACACCCCCAGACAGGTACAGCATATGTCAGATAAGGATAAACTAGTCCATAGTAGGCTGTCAAGAGGACCTCACACGAAACAGTATGTTTAAGAGTGCGGAGCATGAAAATCCCAACAGATATCTTGTTTGAAACATGATCGATATGCTTGTGAAATTTGAGGTTCTCGTCTAGAATTAAACCAAGGAACTTTACATCTGGGGAGGGGGAAATAGTGGTATCATCAAGAAGAACATGTATGTCAGTGGATGTGCGATGCTGAGCAATGCTAAATTGAAGGAGTGTGGTTTTGTTGGCATTTAAGATTAGTTCATTATCCTCACACCACTGAAGCAGGCAGTTGGATTCAAGAAATAGGGTCTGTTCTAAGGCCTGAATACTGGGATTTGAAATGGTGATAGAAGTGTCATCGGCAAAAAGGCATATGTTTGCAAGATTCAAGCTGGATGGAACATCATTTATGAAGATAAGGAAGAGAATCGGACCCAAGACGGAACCCTGGGGCACACCTCTCCTGACTGGGACTTCTGAAGAG